ACAACTTCTCTCATTTCCACTATCCATAATCCTGCAATAATACATTGTTTATGCCTCTTTACTTTGGGAATACAATTTCCCCTCTCACCTTTTGTCTCATACCTGTCTCAGATTTCCAGCAGCCCCCAACCATCTTGACAAGGAAATGCTTGAACTGCACCTAATCAGCAATTACACAGTTAGTGGAGATGGGCTGCACATGATCTAAGTGAATTGGTAGATGGTTGAAGTTAAGTGGTTGTGTGAATTTACTTTGGAGTGTTCAAGTGCTCTACTCTGACAGCTCTACCAGAAATGCTGCAAAATGCTGTATGGCTAGACATGCAGTTACTCCATACTCTAAATTAGAGTATTTGCTTAGATACATAGTGCAGTAGATGATGATAGAGGCCTCAGCCCACTTTGGATAAATTAGAGAAACTACTCTCCAGTTCTCAAAAGATCAACCATGAGTTCATGACTACATATTTTCAAGTGAAGATTTCTCTTACATGCACTGAGTTGTTCAAGATAGAAGAGTCTAGTTGTAATTAGGTTTAAGCTGCATTACAGGTTAATGAAATATGGAAGGAAGAAATATGAAGGCTCATGTAGGAATCTGCTTTAGATGTTACATTCCAACAAATAATTACAAAGCAAGCAAGTTTCAGAAAGGTCTTTATTTTAAAGTAAAAAAAAAAAAGTTTGTTCTTTCTGTGCAGTAGATAACTTACTCCATCATTAAAAGTTACAGTATACAATCAGGTTTAAATTAGATAAAATGGCATTTTGTGTTTAAAGACTTTTCAGTTTTTAAAAACAATTCCTCAATTTTCTAGACTTTTTTTTTTTAACGTCCTAATAGGCAAGTTTCACAGTTCTGGTAAAAGCATTCTATATTGCTAAGGCTCCATTTAAGACTTTAGCCAAAGAAATGACCCTTCTCACACCCAATCTAATCATTTTAAGTCACTCCAGGTGTCGCCTCCCCCTGCCATATTCATGGCTTTACACTCACTTTCCAATGTTTCTGTGGGTGAGTCTTTCATATAACAAGGTGAATTGAGGATACAAAGTGCTGTTAAATACTCTACAAAATTTCAAAGAGCAGTATGACTTAAGTTGATAATGTCCCTTTAAGATCATATAGCAATACAACCGGCAACAGAAGGACAATCCTACTTCATCTAGTCCAAGAGCTACAAGCTACTGAAAAATACTTTACACCACTTCCGTAATTGAGACCAAGCTACACCCAAGCAGCATGTTATTAGCTTGAATGGCAATACAAAGCAGTTCAGAATGTTGTTAGATATGGTTTAGTTCCACAATCCTAATTATATCTAAATCTCTAGCACTATTGTGGACAGTGCCAACATTTCAGAACCGGCTCTATCCATAAGCAAACTTCATGATTCAAAATATTGAGGCAGTATGGTCTGTCAAACTGAAGTACTGTATCAAATGAAGCCTTCTATTCAGAAGCATTCAAGCCTCTTATAAAAACAAAATAAATTAACATCTCAAAACACATGCTTGTTAAATGTCTACCATCACAAATACACAATATAAAAGCAATAGGGAACTGAAAGCTATTTGACAGAAATATACAAAAGGATACTAAATTATACTGACCTTTTTTATTAGCACAAAGTTTAAGTATTAAACTAGTTAATATATTATGAATCTGCTGACAGAAAGGAAACAGCCAACCTCAAACTACAGTTGTCTAATATACTACTTCCTGTAGGAGACTGCAGCAAAAGTAGTTTTGACCCACCCCCCTCACTAAGGCTTTAAAAACTAAGTTTTTACGCCACAGTAGGACATTACTCAGATTTGTTCCTGTCATGGAACATAGGCACTTTCCAAGAAATTACACAGTAATTAGAAAACAGCAGTGGTGCAGGCAACAACGATTGTTAAAGAGACCATTTGGAGTCATATGCCCTCATACTAAAATTGAAATATTAGCAAATGCTGCTTTGGGTGGTGTAATAAATCATTATCTGAACATAGCACTTTATACTGAACAAAATAACACTTGGATTTATTTTAACCACTTTACTTTCTAGTCACAATATATACAGGGAATGGAGGGGAGAAAATCCTTTCCTGATAAATGTTTATAACCGGCTGTTAGTGTCTCAGAAAGAAAAATCTCTTCCTCACAACCCAAATTTTGTAGGAGTATGTCTTGACATGATTATGTATAGTAGAAAGTTGTTAGCTGAAAATTTAAAGCCATAGCTAAAGCTAATTACACTCACCTGAATAAACTTTAAAGGAAAAATGTGAACATTAAACAAACAGAATTGGACTTATTATAAATAACTAACACCACCATGGAATAAACTAAGTGGAGTAGCTCTCAGGAGTATGATTCTATTATGCAGGCCATGATGAAACATTTCCACTATAAAAGTGATTTTTTTCACACATCCTTCTCTAATATTAAATAATAGAATCCTTTAGTTTTATAACCTGTGTTGTCTTTTAAAAGGAGCAAGGCTTTAAACAAACCCAGCCAGCGACATGTGAAGCGCATAGAACAATCAGATAAAATTCAGGGTTATGCTATGTATAAAAGTTACCTAAATTGAGCATACAAAATGTATGCACAGATACAGAGTAATTAGAGGCACAAAATACAAGTTGAGTGAACATCATATTGGCTATCCTGTTTTGAAAGTTTGTCCCTTGGCTCATTGCACTAACTCAGATTAAAGAAAAAACATTTTTATTAGACCTATCATAAAATAGCTATAATAAAGTATATCAGATTCTGCCTAGTTCAAAAAAAAATTTTTTGCCAAGAATTTCAATAAAGATGTACTCCTTCTTCATGTTGGTCCTACTACTAAAATGTTGTGTGCTCCGGTTCTGAAGAGCTAATTAAAGAGGGGGTGCCATTTCTGGCAAATAGCTAGTTAGCCTAAAGCTGAATACTTGTATATTTCTTAAAAAGTAATGTACATTTATATACATCTATATCTGTACTTTCCTTGTGAGATACACACCTCACGAGCGGTAAAATGCTGAAGATCAGCTGTATCCTTACTCTACAGAGAAATATTGGCCCCAAGTCACATTTGCCTCAAGATTTTTGGGAACTTATGCAATATGGAGCTCAGTTTGATTAGCTATTATTTCCAGAGCTGTCCCAACCCTTTAAAGAATGCTAGTGCAAAATGGTCAAAAGAAAAACATGTTGAGGGCATTAATTCCACAGAGAACATAACAGGAAAAAATATGTATTGAGAACATTGACAAACTTCTGAAGATATCAGACATGTCAAATGTTTAGAAACATGCACAACTCTGAGAACAGAAGCATAGGTGATTAGTTTGGAAGGGTTGTCAAAGGAGTAAGTGCCATCTAGGTTCAAGTTTGCCTCAGGTCACAAATTGGAAAAATAAATAAATTTGGTCTTGTATTTGCCTTTATCACAAAAACACTACACATTGGGCCATCCTGATTATCACTACCAAAGTTGTTTTTTTTTCTCCTGCTGATAATAGCCCACCTTCATTGATTAGTCTCGTTAGAGTTGGTATGGCAATACCCATTTTTTCATGTTCTCTGTGTATATATATCTTCCTACTGTATTTTCCACTGCATGCATCCGATGAAGTGGGTCTTAGCCCATGAAAGCTTATGCCCAAATAAATTTGTTAGTCTTTAAGGTGCCACAAGTACTCCTCGTTCTTTTTGCTGATACAGACAAACACTGCTACCGCTCTGAAACCGACACAATTTGAGTGGCTGTTTCTTGTCAAGAGAAAGTCCGAGCAGGAGATAGCTGGCAGGTCAGAATTAAGGTGCATTGAAAAATCTGTTAAGGGAAGTTTGCACATCAGCTGCTGGTATCCTGCCTGACTGGCCAATGCAGTTTATACTTCACCTTCATAAGCACCAATCCTGACTAACATGTTAAATGCAGATTTTGTTAATGACGAGAAATAAGTTGGGATAGCAATTCTGTATACCTCAGAAACAAGTCAGCAGTTTGAGGGACTGGCTGGCCTCATCCAGGCAATGGAAACCAAACAAGAGAACCTCACAAAACACAGTATAAATACACACAGTCAAAGGGCATGATTGCAGTGAATGCAATACTCACATTTCTGTGGTGCTGACATTTACTGTCTCACTACAACATGCACATCCCTAAATGGGCTTTCACTCTCTGGAAATAGTCTGGATTTCTTCAAAGTCAAAAGACTAATTCTGAAGGTCAAAGTGGCTTACTTCCAATACGTACTAAAACAGTTGTTTTCATCTCATCTAAGAAATGAAATATGGTTTGTCCCTTGGTATAGTGAAAAGCAGGGTAAAGAGAGCAACATGGGTTGTATCCATAATAGAGGTATTTTGAACCAACTTCAGACAAAAATCATTTCCTGTACAACTGCTGATCAAGAAAGGCTTTACATAATGTAAGTTATAGGTATGGGGGAGGCATGAGTTTGTAGAAAAGTCATCAAGGGACAGGGGAACGTGAATTATTGCGCAATTACTCTTTCCAAAAGGAACTAGAGTATAATCACCATATAATAAACTGTAGTTCATTTGTGTATTCCCCCCCTCTCCGCATACAGCAGTCTTTTGTCTTGAAAACAGCTTGGCACTAAAGACCATGCATATATGCAGGGTCCAAATGTACTGTCACTTTTTCTTAAGGTCTCTGACAAGTGCCACACTGCTAGCAGATGTAACAAAGAATGAGGCAGTGGAATCATAAGTACAGGATTGGAAGGGACCTCAAGAGGTCATCAAGTCTAATCCCCTGCACTCAAGGCAGGACTACGTAATACCTAGACCATTCCTGACAGGTGTTTGTCTAACCTGTTCTTAAAAACCTCCAATGACAGAGATTCCACAACCTCCCTAGGCAATTTATTCCAGTGCTTAGCCACCCGACAGTCAGGAAGTTTTTCCTAATATCTGTTTTAACTGGGAAATTAGTTCAATAGTGCATCTGCGTGTGCTATTAAGGCCTTTAGTCTCCCAGATTGCATGTAGGAAAGGAAATATTAGGAAATGCTGCAAGACAATTCCAGAAAAATCCTCAGATTATCCCAGAAACAGGCAGTCCAACAATTGCTTCTAGGCACTTTCAGACTTCTTTTAAAGTCACTCTCCTACCTTGAGATGCAGAGGAACCATTAGTACACATACATTTGGAATAATCTCCTTCACATAAGGAGGGAAATTCTAAGACTTCACAGAAGGGAAGTGGTGGCTCAAAACACATTTTGACAAACTTCGTTACAGACTCAGTTCAGCCCAATACCTTGGGATTTGGCTGTATCTGTGCACACAAAGTAAGTCCTTAGTTCTCCCTTTCCTTTGACATTAATGAGTCCCCTACATTCACATGAATATCCCAGTTCCTGTAATATTTTGCTTGTCTCTTCTGTAACCTGAGTGAAACAGAAATAGTGAAATTCTTGTAAGACACCATGGAAATTAACTTTGAGGATTAAGCAATAAAAATGCTAAAAGTAGTTTTCTAGAAACATCTGAATGCCCATCTTTGTACCTGGATTTTTCCAAGTTCACCAGTACTCTCCATCCTGCTGGCGACATTGACAGTGTTTCCCCAGATATCATACTGGGGTTTACGAGCACCAATCACACCTGCTATTACAGGCCCATGGTTTATCCCTACAGAAATAAAAGTACGTGTCATTAGAGTTAATATAATTTTGCACTTCAGTAACTCCTTCCAGCAGAGGATCACTTTCATAGAATCATAGAATAGCAGGGTTGGAAGGGACCTCAGGAGGTCATCTAGTCCAACCCCCTGCACAAAGCAGGACCAATCCCCAGACAGATTTTTACCCCAGTTCCCTAAATGGCCCCCTCAAGGATTGAACTGACAACCCTGGGTTTAGCAGGCCAATGCTCAAACCACTGAGCTATCCCTCCATTTATAACCAGCAATGAATAAAGCCTCACTGCACCCTTTGAGGATAAGGAAGTGACTTGCCCAGGGGAAGTTTGTGGCAGAGCTGAGCATGTCGTCCAGATCTCCTATCTCACCGACCTGTGCTTTAAGCAGAAGTCCACCCTTCCTGCACTTCATGTAGAACATTAACAGTCTAACAACAATCCTAGAATTGCCATGTAACGAGCCAACAGTAGCACACTACCCAGCGCTCTCATCACCCCCATATCCAACCAGCAAACACACCATGCTCTCCTTCTCCTCCCCGTTTGCAGCTGCAGCATTATTTTCCCTTTTCCCACACCCAGCACCAGAAACATCCCTGAATATTGCAGGAATATCAGGATGATGAGACTACAGCCACACTCCAACGTTAGAGGTGGAAGCTTGGCGCATTTAAAAGCTAGACTAGACAATAATGTTCTCTCTCAGTATTTATATTATGCTTATTACCATAATATCAGTGTTCAGTGTCAAGAATAATTCAGCAATTGACCAGTGGCTTGACCATCTAATAATCCTTTTCCAGCTCTAGTTTTTGCAAAGCTTGTAGCATTCACATCCTGTATGAAACTGAACTTACCAACACGTAGGCGGAAATTGTTAAAGGAATGTCTGTTGATGCCATCCAGTTTACTCATCAAGGCAATTCCATACTCCACCATGATCCCAATTTGAGCATGCTGTCTCTCCTGGTCCTAGGTAATTTATAATGGATATTAATGCCTTAATATGCAAGATCATGTCAAGCTCTCAGTGTAATGAATGGCAACTGTCCATCCCAAAGAACTATGATGTAAACACCAAAGCAGTTCAGTTATTGTGTGTTATGCTACTGCATCGCGAGTGGTCACAGTAATGCTGGTTTCTGATGAAGTCCAGTACTATCAATTAATTATATATCAATTTATCCATGGCAAGCCCCAGGTGAAATAACATACCATTACACAATCACAGCTCAGTTCAGATGAACATGCACAATAATTAAAATGAATATTAAAGTAAATTGGGTCTGGCTGGCAAACGGAGAGCCTGCTCTGCTTAGTATTCATAAACCTGGCTCTTTACATCTCCTTCCAGACTTTAGTGCAGATTTAAAATTAAGCATCCTGTACGTACAGCACATGTATTCTCACTCCTCACACCAAAACCACCTCCTGATGATGGGCCTGAACCAAAAGCCTGGTTTTAAACACCTCTTAGCTACAGGGTGTTTGAAATTTAGATCTGATTTTTGCTACCTGAGTTTATTGTTCTACCATGTTCTCTGCATAGATAACAATTATATTAATCAATTTGCCATCAAATCCTGAATCCAAATCAGACATGGCTGAGGTTGTTCATTCTTTGGTATCAATAGCCACTTGGTACTCCCACCATTCAAGCTATTCTGTTGTGTATCCAGGAGCGTTCAAGCTCCTGGAGTCAAAGATTTTTGAGAATTTAAAGAAAAACAATGTTGGTTTTGGATTTAATATCTGCTCTTGAGGAACAGAACTACAGATACATGAAAGTTAGTCAAAATCACAGTTTCCCAGTGCTTTGACTCACAGAATAGTGTAGGAACAGTTGTAAACAAGAAAACAGCAAATTGATTTTAAAGGAAATAAGCTGACACCAGCTTCACTGGTCTGGTATTAAGGAGTGATGAATTCTCTGCTGTATGTAGGGCTGTAATTCCATTACATGCGACATCTTGGTGACAGTTTAAACCACAGTATTTGTTCTCGACACCAGAACCCAAATATTGCAATTACAGCCTTAATTTTGGAACATTTCAGAAATATATTATTTATAATGTGAAAATACAAAATACAGCCCCAGAATATATTTCCTATCCTCCTCTTCCATACCTGAAACTATGACTGCTGATAACTTCCATCTTCCTTTCCATCCCTCTACACTCTGTCACCTACACACATATGGACAAGTAGAATTCTAAATGTGTTTATGCTTCCAAAGGGTATCATACCTGGTTGTTCTCTTGGCCTGGTGCGACACTAAGGCCTGCTGCTGCCATGTAAGTGCTTCCAATGGTTTTGATTTTTTCAACACCACTAAATTTAGGTTTTAACAACAGCTGATTGGAAGAAAGAAACTGAATTATAATTTGAGATCTTAATGCCTTATATCCCCATGTGTTCTCACCAATGATCTTGTATTCCGTACCACATACATAAGATTTATCTCCAGATACATTATGTCACTTTATCGCAGAAAACATACATTTTAACAAAGTGTGGAAGATTTCTTTTGCTGCTGTTTCCCTCCACCCACTCCCTTTTTTGGACACACATTATAGAAACGTAGTAAATCCTGCAACCCAGTAATAAAATCTGTGACAGATCGGTATTTGCATCATGAGGAAAAACACTAGGGCTTATTTATACTGTACTATTAAAGGGTTAGATGGTCTAACCGCATGAGTGCATCAGATGGAAATTATTAGAATTTCACTTTCCAAGGCTGTAAGGCTGAACTAAGACTCCTGGTTCATCTTACTAAATTTTTTTCACTTTTCATGGTTCCTACATTGAAACACCGCTCTAGAAAAACATTTTATATTGTAATCATGTAAATCCAAGCTAGGTTTGCCTGAAACTTGAAATACCTCATCAAAATCAGCAATGATTTCATTCAGCAGCCGCAAGCACTCCAGTCCCTCTTTATTGACATCACATTCGGTATAAAACACCTTAAAATCAGGTACTGATGCAAACATGACACAGACACAGTCATAAGACTGATGGTACCAATCCTGTTGGAAAGCAATAGAAATTTCACAGTTACCCTGTAACCCCACAGTGTATAACCAAAATTGCATTCAGCTTTTAGTACCTTTAAAAAATAACTATGACTAGAAATGAACCAAGCTAAGCCACTGGAATTCAGCAAAATGATCAGGACCACCATATTTTCCTATTTTTATTGAATCAGAATTCTAAGTGCTGAGAATGAAATCCAATCAGATACCTCCAACTGCATTATACACAGTGACTGCTGGCTCTGCTCCAATAGCCCCCATCCTCCCAGCTCAGTCAATCCAGTGACTCACTATGGAGGTGTTGGCAGAGTGAAGTGCAGGGTCTAAGAAGTGCTGCTATCAGTGCCCTTTTATCATCTGCCATCAGGGTGCTGCCAAGTGGATGCTGTCTGCCCCTCAGCTAGCTCCTTATAGGAATTAAATGAATCAGCTCTGTCAAAAGGGGTCTTTGGAGAGGTGAATCCTAACGTCACTAAACCAATGATCATCTCTGATGTGGATTTCCATGCCCCACTCCTGCCAGTGCTAAAAGCAAGTATTCATTTAAACTGAAGTCCTCTTAATGCCAGGGGGTAGCAGCTCCTTGGGCTTGGGAAGGCCATGGGATTCTCATATCGTGGGCCAAGAAGAGGGAGGAACAGAGGAAGCAAGCAGTCACCCCATTCATGGGCGGTGACGTGGCATTCTCACAGGAGTCTGATTTACCATCCTTCCTATCAGTAGAGTAGATTAAATATACCTCATTTAATTTGTCACCGATGAAATGAGCAGCAACATGTGCCGGAAGGACATTTTCCAGCAAGAGCCTGTTTACGTTCTCCATGGTTTCAAATTGTTCATGTTCTTTTTTAAATTTATTCTTCCACAAGCAATCTAGTCGACAGTAATACTCAATCTGAAAACAAGAATTCATACAGCAAAATAAATCCCCATAGCTCTGATAAGAGTTTACAGGTTTCAAATCAAGTGAAAAGGGGGGCAGTGACAGCCAAGTTTTGTCAGGACACTTCGGACCCAAATGGCCACTGAAATTGTGACTGAAAACCTGCACAAGCATCTGTTTTTGAAAACAGAAGTCACATCTACACAAGCCAACAGCCATTTGTGCATGCGACTCAACTGGCATCAGATGTACACTAGTCCAATTTGCACACAGAATCATAAGACTGGTAGGGACCTTGAGAGATCATCTAGTCCAGTCCCCTGCACTCATGGCAGCACTAAGTATTATCTAGACCAGTGGTTCTCAAACTTGGGCTGCCGCTTGTTCAGGGAAAGCCTCTGGCGGGGCGGGCTGGTTTGTTTACCTGCCACGTCCGCAGGTTCGGCCGATCGTGTCTCCCACTGGCTGCGGTTCGCCTCTCCAGGCCAATGGGGGCTGCAGAAAGTGGCACGGGCCGAGGGACGTGCTGGCCGCCCTTTCTGCAGCCCCCATTGGCCTGGAGCGGCGAACCGCGGCCAGTGGGAGCTGCGATCAGCCGAACCTGCGGAAGTGGCAGGTAAACAAACCGGCCCGCCCCGCCAGGGGCTTTCCCTGAACAAGCGGCAGCCCAAGTATGAGAACCACTGATCTAGACCATCCCTGACAGGTGTTTGTCCAACCTGCTCTTAAAAATCCCCAATGATGGAGATTCCACAACCTCCCTAGGCAATTTATTCCAGTGCTTAACCACCCTGACAGTTAGAAAGTTTTTCCCAATGTCCAACCTAACCCTCCCTTGCTGCAATTTAACCCCCTTGCTTCTTGTCCTTGTGACATTACACTCCATAGCCTTTATGGAAATATCCTTATGATATGGATATGACATAACTGAGATGTATTTTATGCAAGATGGCTCATGTAAGATATCATTGGAAAAGTTATGATTTACTGAATGTGATTATCCAATTTGTATGCACGTATCATTTCTGTATCTAAAGTTAGGAATATGGACTAGGTAACAATTACAACTGGGTGTGTATTGGGAAGACACCCACCAGATGACAGGCCACCAGATTTGATGGGCCATTAGGAAAGGAACAACAAGACTGTGAAGATACTAATCTCTCTCCCTCCTAGGAGGCATTCTGGGATGTAACTGTGACACTACTAGGTCAGGTGGTCTTGTCACCTGATACTAAACATTATTTTGGACTTCTTGTAACTTTCCATTAAAAAGGGGGTCAAGTTTGGGAAACAAAGGATTCCCGCCTTATGTAAACCTTATTTAAGGGTGGGGAGCAAGGCAAACGGGACTTCTCTCCATGACCTGTCTGCCCAAGAAGAAAGACTGCAAAAGACACCTGAAGGGAAGGCAAGGGTGGAGTCCAGTCTGGAAAGAAATATAACTGGAACTCTAAGCTATAGAAACTTTGCAACCTGCCTAAAATAACATTTAGGGTAAGAAGTTACATTTTGTAACCTGTTCCTTAAGTATACTGAGCTTAGCTTGCATATTTTGTTTTGTTTGCTCAGTAATCTGCTTTGTTCTGTCTATCTCTTATATTCACTTAACATTCACCTTTTGTAGTTAATAAACTTATTTCTTGTTTATAATATAACCCAATTTGTGCAATTCATAATTGGGGGGGGGGTGGAAGAGGCTGTGCCTACCTTCCTCCACATTGAGGGAGGAGGCGGATTTCAGAATATACCTTTGGGTCTGCATTCCAAAGGAGGTGGAGTGCTGGGGCAAGTCCCTTAAACTGATCTCAGTGTCTGTGTTGTTCTGCAGTTGGGTGTGGCCCTGCCTGTGTGTGTGCTGGAGGCGGCTTAATAGCCTGCCTCAGCAAGACAGGTTAAAGGGGGCCCAGGCTGGCAGAGCAGGCAGACTCAGTGGTATCTCAGCACATCAGGTGGCAGCTTAACAGGGGGCAACCCGTTACAGTCCTATCCTCAGAGGTTAAGAAAAACAATGTTTCTCCCTCCTCCTTGTAACAACCTTTTACATACTTGAAAACTGTTATCATGTCCTCTCTCAGTCTTCTCTGTTCCAGACTAAAGAAACCCAATTTGTTCAGTCTTCCCTCATAGGTCATGTTTTCTAGACCTTTAATCATTTTTGTTGCTCTTCTCTGGACTCTCTCCGATTTGTTCATATCCTTCCTGAAATGTGGTGCTCAGAACTGGACACAATACTCCAGTTGAGGCCTAATCAGTGCAGAGTAGAGCGGAAGCATTACTTCTCGTGTCTTACAACGCTCCTGCTAAGACATCCCAGAATGAAGTTCGCTTTTTTTCCAACAGCATTACACTGTTGACTCATATTTAGCTTGTGGTCCACTATGACCCCCAGATCCCTTTCCGTAGTACTCCTTCCTAAGCAGTCATTCCCATTTTGTATCTGTGCAACTGATTGTTCCTTCCTAAGTGGCGTACTTTGCATTTGTCCTTATTGAATTTCATCCTAGTTACTTCAGAGCATTTCTCCAGTTTGTCCAGATCATTTTGAATTTTAATCCTATCCTCCAAAGCACTTGCAACCCCCCCCCCCCCCAAGCTTGGTATCAGCTGCAAACTTTATGAGCGTACTCTTGATGTCATTATCTAAATCATTGTAAAGCAATCTGTATTTTTATTTAATCATTACAATTCAATTTAATAATTATACTTTAATTAGTTTAATAAGTATGTTTATTTTGAATATTGCACTGTCCCAAACCACCCTGCCAGAAGGGTGGAAGATGATTTATAAATACAATTGAAAGTGACTAGACAATGTAGATTCTGGGTGCCCAATTTTGTGAGTGCAGTATCAGAAGCCACTTTTAAAAGTTTGCCTTTAGAGTTAGAATCCAAAATACTATTGAAAAATGTGTAAAAATCTTTCCCTTCTTTCCCAAACACTATAAAAATGATTTTTCGGTGTCTAGGACAAACTACAGGGATAGAAAACAGGTGTCTTATATTTAACTCAACTATCACTGAATGAAAAGGACTGTGGGGGTTTTGTTTTGTTTTTTATCCATACCTGTCTTGAAAATAGGATCAGAGTTACGTAAAACAGAGCCAGGTATAAGTTAGTCATCAATATTGGATCTTTCATGAAAAACCTGGAATACAGAAAAGCAACATACAATCGTTGTTTTGAATCTTTTGGAATCTCTGGATGTTTAGAAACAGAACCCCCTGGCGTTCCGAAGAACTCTTTAACAGAAACAACACAAGTGACAGTCCCCCAATTTTAACGTAGTCCCTCTGCTTATGGGTCCTGTCTTCATAGCTGTTCGCCTGCATCTTCATGGGGCTTTTCAATCATACTGAGCTAACACATTTGAAAATCACACCCCTTTTTGCCCAGCAAGACATAACCACAGAGGCTTAAAGTAGGAAACAGCTTCCTTGCTTGTGATGGGCAAAGAGACTAAGAGCTTGTCTACAAGACAACTGGAGCTGAAATAACTAAATCTGCTGTAGTTCACACCTTTAGATATTTCGGTATAAGTCTGAGTAGACGCACTTATTCTGGAAGAAGAGTATTCCATGTCACACTCCAATCCACTCACTGAAATAACTAAAAGTGGGAATTACAACCGGTTTAGTGATTTTGGTTCAGTTCCTGTGTTAGACCAGCCTGAAGTCTCAGCACGCTCACACTATCTTTTGGCTTGATCCCACAGCTCAGACAACTGCCACGCTATGAAACAACTGTGAGATTGTACCCAGAAGATTTGCAAATGAGCACACCAAGCTTCCCACATGGTACACACGATTTATTTTATGGCTTCTTTGCCCTGTTCAATTAGACTGGAGGAGTTAAATGTTTGGTTTTTAAAAGTATTTGGAATCAGGGAAGTAATTTCACAGTTAACTGTTGTGCTGATAAAAGTGGTATGATTAGTGTTGCTTTGGCAAACACATGTTCTCCACAAATACTCATTCCCCATCAGCTCTGGACAAATATTGGATATACCATGAATATAAATGTCCTACCATTTTCTAAAGATTTAATGTACAATGTAGACAAAGTGCCCTAGACTTTGCCATGCCATTCTTCCCCTATGGAAAGTGGAATACAAAGTACCACACACCTTAGGGTTATTACATTGTGAAGTTTATTTTAAAAGACTATTTTAAAATGTGTGAAATGAGCAGCTAAAGTAAGCTCACTTAAGAACCAGCTAAAGCAGATCTATTGACTGAATAACTCAATATTATGGAGAATACTGGAATTTTATGGAGGAGAACAGCCTCCTTCATAGTTTATAGGTTGAGGCCAGCTTCACATTATAGGCTCAGTTTTCAAATTCCCCTCACTAAAATCCCCAAAATGAAACCAGTCTCCCTGAAATTTCACATCCCACATCTCAACCCATGAATGGTACCATTTTTATGGGAAGTCTGGAAAAAGAATTTTTTTTCTAAGATTATGATATATACAAAAATGTCCTAATGGTTTCTGGCTCAAAGTGTTGCAGTACTTCAAAATTCCAATGAAAGTGAAGGACTCTACCAATCCTTTTCATGGAGAGTTATTGTCCATTACTGGGGACTTCATAGCATACCTTAGAGTGGTATTGGTGGTGTTGTTGTAGCCTGCACTCACGTTCTTTGAGGGATTAAAGATGAAGATGTACACAGTAACAGCGATGGACAGAAGGAGAACTTTGAGTTCGAAGCTCATCCGAAGGAATACAGAGCAAGCAATAAACCCTAATATGCAGCAATAAGTATAATACTGTAACAGAAGAAGTTAATGAGATGCTGAATAATTCACACTCTTAGGACAAAGTCGATTTTACTGCTTGTAAGGCTAGGAATTTCATGGCTATCATAATTTAGATCAAGTAAAGAATGAAAGCAGTTGTCAGATATAATCTGTTTTTTGGAAAATCTACTAACAGACAAAACTTAGGCTTTCACCAATTTATCCTTGGATTTATCCAACATAAAACATCATTATATAAAAAACAGTTAAGCAACACCTTGTACAAATGAAAGTGAAGAGCTTTTGACAAGAGGCTTTTTTTTCTATAACTTCTTAGTTTTAAAAATGGATTTCTATTAATGTTTTGAAGATCAAGACTAATTTAGAGAGACAACATAGTCTAGTGCAGGGGTAGACAACCTGCGGCATGCAAGCTGATTTTCAGTGGCACTCACACTGCCCGGGTCCTGGCCACCGGTCCGGGGGGGCTCTGCATTTTAATTTAATTTAAGTGAAGCTTCTTAAACATTTTAAAAACCTTATTTACTTTGCCTACAACAATAGTTTAGTTATATATTATAGACTTAGAGAAAGAGACCATCTAAAAACGTTAAAATGTATTACTGGCACGCGAAACCTTAAATCAGAGTGACTAAATGAAGACTCAGCACACCACTTCTGAAAGGTTACCGACCCCTGGTCTAGTGACTTAAGCACAAGGCTGGGAACCAGGAACTTCAGGATACAGCTACACTATAAAAAATACACCACACAGCAGTGACTCTCAGAGCCTGGGTCAACTGACTGTCTTGTGCTTTGGAGCTAAAAGTACCATTGTAGACATTGCCATTCGGGCAGGAGCCTGGGTCCGAAACTGAGCAAGGCGTTGGGCCTCAGAGCACAGACTCCAGCCTGAGCAGGTACCTCTCCACTGCTATTTCTAGCCCCATAGCAGGAGCCTCACAAACCCCAGTCAGCTGACCCAGGTTCTGAGACTCATTGTGGTGGGGGTTTTTTACTCTGATTTTTGACAGTGACTCCCTTTGCAACCTTGAGCAAGTCACAGCCTCTTTGTGTCTCAGTTTCCTCATCTGTGAAATAAAGATACTACCACTACTTATTTACCTACCAGTGGGGGAGGAGGGGGTTTCATTAATGTGGTAAAGAATTTTGATGACTTGATCCAAAACCCAGTGAAGTCAATGGAAAAACTCCCATTCACTTCAGTGGGCTTTAGATCAGACTTTAGGCAAATCCTAAGTATTGTTTCAAAATATTTACCAGTTTTACAATCACATTCTTTGTTTCTTTTGAGTATAAAAGAGAAAAATATATACAAGGCACTGAACAAATTACTAAGCTCTTTGTACCATAACAGTGATAACAGATATAGGGCAGATCAATAGAGCTATCACAATTTACACCAACTGAGGATCTGCTCAATAGCATGTGATATACTGTATTGGGCCAAACTTGTCCTCTTAAAAGACCTTGGGCCTGATTTTCATAGATTCAAAGGGCAGAAGGGACCATTGTGATCATCTTGTCTGACCTTCTGTATAACACAGGCCACAGAACTAACTCAAAATAATTCCTAAAGCAGATCCTTTAGATCAACATCCAATCCTGATTTAAAAATTGTCAGTGATGAAGAATCCACCACAACGCTTGGTAAATTGTTACAATGGATAATTACCCTCACTGACAAAAATTTACACCTTATTTTCAGTCTGGATTTGTCCAGCTTCAATTTCCAGCCATTGGATTGTGTTACACCTCTCTCTCCTGGATTGAAGACCATTATTAAATTATTTGTTCCCCGGGTAGATACTTACAGACTGTAATCAAATCACCTTTCTTTTTGTTAAACTAAATAGATTGAGCTCTTTGAGAACACAGTATTCCAACAGCAGTGTCAAATACAGAGGTAAAATAACCTTTCTACTCCTCCTTGAGATTCCCCTGTTTACACATCCCAGGATCACATTTTCAAAGGTGCTGAGCACTCAAAGTTTCCATCAGGACTTTAAGAGTGAAATTCACGACAGGTATGTCAACAATGCAGCAGGGAAGGTACCTCTGAGTGCAGGAAGTCAGCCCCATGCTAGCTCTGCTTGAGCCAGCATGCTAAGAGTAGCAGCGTAGCTGGGGGTAACATGGGTGGCAGCTTGAGCTAACTGCCCAGTACCAACTGGGGCTCTTGATGGGTTTGTACTCAGGCAGCACCTTTCCAGCTGCAGGGTAGACACACCATATATGCAGAGGTCAGTGCATATCCATGTACCATTTAAAACCTTTCCCCCCATGCTACCAGTATACCCCAATACACTTTACAGTACAATAAATCATCAATATTTCAGTCATATCCACCATTTGTTTTCTTACGACTTTTCTCAAATTCCAGCTTTGCTTTTTTTAAATCTGAAAATTCCAAAAAGAGAAGCTATAAAAGCATCTTCTTTAGATTCCACCTAATGCAGAAAAATAGTATGAATGACCACAGACAGGACAGCTGGAATTGCAGAGGTGAAGCTTTGTGCACTCAATAATTAAAAAGCTATATTTTTAAAGAGCAAGGGGAAGATACCAAGCGCCTGCCAGCTGTCAATATTAAACCCAGCCTTTGAGGTGTGTGTGTTTTAATCTTGGAAGAAAACTGGTGTTCTACTCACAGGCAAGAAGACATCCTTAATACAGGATTCAGTATAGTCCACAGCTGTACTTCTTTCAGTAGCCTGATTCACAGGCTAGAAAGAATGGAAAAGTTGATTAGCAGCAGAATGGGATGTGCCCCATACGCAAACCGCACATCATTACAGCGATGAGGGCGTGCACATCTAAAGGTCATGTTAGAACTTGCAGCATATGTTTCAAAAACCGACCTAGCTCAGAGCTGTGCAATCAAGTGAGAAAACTTGTTCATGACCATTCTGGTGACTCTTCAATAGAATTTCATTTCTGAACATTAAGTGCCAAAATCGGAGTGCAATTCCCCTGAAATCAATGAACAGACTCCCTTTGGATGTCAATGGGAATTGGGTCAGTCCTTAAGTAAGTGCTAATTATTCTTTAATTTTAAAATATTTCCCACCTTTAAAGCACATTCTTGTCTGTCTGGGCTATAAATTGAAAAATCTACAAGACTGAACAAAAGACTAAATTGCCCAATAGGATTCTATATAAAGTTTAACAGATAGATAATAGTATACACTCTATTGTACTGTACCAAACTGGTCCCCTAAGTACACCTGAATTTCAAAAGGTGGTGAATGCCCACAACTAACGACTTCATCTGGCATCAGGAGTGCTCAACACTTCTGGAAAATCCAGAAAGATGAACTACAAAACCATCTCTTGGAGAACCCAGATAATGCAGGGAATTACAGCTGGAAATGCTTACTGACAGGAGTTAGCCTTTGGGTTATCAATCATTTAAAAGCTCTATTTTCATAAAGAGAAGGGAAGTTACAGAGAAGCTGTCAATATTACACAGAGCATTCCAGGTCTCTGTTTTCATCTAGGAAATGGAAGTGGTGCTGTACTCACCACGCAGGTGACAGCCTCATCACTTGATCCAGTAGCGTTTGTGGATCTACTTTTTTCAGCAGGCTGATTCATTGCCAAGAAAGAATATAAAAGCTGATTAGCAGGCGGGGAGAGGGGGGCGAGTGGGGAGACAGTCATTGGTTACATAAATAATAGCACCAGCACCCTGGGGCCCTGCTCTGATTGTCCTCTGGGCCCTACTGTACCATAAACGTTAAATATCAATGATGATGCCCTGTACGCATGCGGCACATCGGCAAAGTGATCTGGGGTTGCAAGAAAAGGTCATGTCAAAACCTGACACACGTTTTTCAAAAGTGAACCTGTTTTCAGAGCTGGGTGACCAAGTGAGAAGAGTTATTAATGAATATTTTGATGACTTCTAAACAGATTTTTGTTTTTCAGTTTTATGGGCCAAAAGTCCAATAAAACATGTACATTGAAGTCAATAAAAAGGCTCGCTTTGGATTTCAATGAGAATTGAATCAGACCCTAAATCCTGCAGTCCTTATTCAAGTGAACTCCCATAATGGAACTAACAACTGAGTAAACACTCCTGAATAGGACCATAAATATACCATCATGGCTCTGTTTTAAAACAGGGGTCCAATTCATACTTTCCTTGGTTTTCCCCCTCAGTGACCTTAGCTAGTGCAATGATGAAGTGCTGTATTGCCTATACGTCATAAAACCACTACCCACTCACACCCCAAATAATTTCGTGTTATAAAAAAGCTGCAGTTCTCTTATAGCAATAGTAATTATAACCAGCGGATACTATACACGGACAGCCTGAAACAAAGAGAATGTGATATTATATATGGATTTCTGGTTCTACAAATTGGGTGTCTTTCCTCCGCATTCTACTTTGCCCAACATACATCATTATCTTTCTGTACATCAGCTCAATGTTAAAAGCAAGTAGTGAAGAGTTAAACATCAGAAAATAGGGCCAAGAACATGGTACTTGAGATGGGAGAGGAGTGGGGTGGTCAAGTCTGCAAAGGTTACAAAATGAAAGAAATGCACAGAATAAAGATAAATGCAAGTACTTACCAAATTAAAAATGGCAATAATCAGCAATGCACCTATAGTGATGACTGCTAAAGGGAGTCTCACTAGAGGCATGGTTTCTACCTTATCCGAAATAGCACAAAGGTGGCGCATAGAAGGCCATTGTTCTGAGCAGCATTTCTGTAAAGGAAACAAGTTTGTCTTAACAAGATGTATTACATGGAGGCTTTAGTGTGCCAAGAGTCATAATTCTAGATACAAGAAAAAACATTTTGTCCATTGCACACACAAAAGTCTCAATACAGTATTAAACAATCACCAGGGCACAAGAAAATGTTATCTCTGTTTTAAACAGAGAAGTGTTGTTCTCTAATGGTCAGAGCAAGAGACTGAGAGCCAAGACACTCGGGTTGTATTCCCAGCTCCAGAACTGACTCACTGAAAGACACTGGACAAATCACAACTATGCCTCAGTTTCCCCATTAATAAAATGGAGATAAATGCTTCCTTATTCCACAGGGGGTGTTTTCTGAGACTCAGTTAATTTATATTTTCAAAATAGCTTCATGTCACCTAATGAAACATGCTAGAGAAATTATTATTAAATTGTTTACACTAAAATTTGCTAATTTTTCTTTTATGCTTAAAACAAACAACTTAAAGGAGACCAAATAAAATAAACCAATCATACACCAAAAAAACCCCCAAACCGGCACTTCCTATTATGGAAAAAAAATCTCTTTGATAACACATACATCTATGCAGAATGCAAACATTATGCCAATGGAACAAAAGCTTCTTATTCTGGGATACTGAATCCAAACTGTCCTTTTGTAGTACCCGGTTGGCAAAATCAAGCCTAATGCAATGTTGGTTATGGATTTCTTCCTTTTTCTTCCCTCCTGTGGCTCAGCAGAATATATAATACAACATGTGCAATTCAAGAAGGGTCTGCTACTTAATCCTGTAACAAAATTACCATTCTTATATCAGGGTGCAGTGAATGCAGTCTTTTGGCCTAAGGGTATGTCTACACTGCAATTAGACACTTGTGGCTGGCCTGTGCTAGCTGACTGGGCCTCCCAGGGCTCAGCTAAGGGGCTGATTAATTGTCATGTAGACGTTTGGGCTCGGGTAGCAGCCCAAGCTCTGGGACTTTCCCACCTCGCACGGTCCTAGATCTCGGACTCCAGCCCAAGTCCAAACGTCTATACACCGTAACCAAACAGCCCTGTAGCCCGAGACCTGCAAACCTGAGTCAGCTGGCACTGGCCAGCCACAGGTTTTTAATTGCAGTGTAGACATACCCTAAATGGCTTAGGCTCTGGCTACCTAAGAGAACCATCTCTTTCCACATCTTTTTTCATGGTAGCTGAGATCTGCAATGCTGAGGACACCACCGCCATGCTGGGAGTGGCTGATGGCAGGAAATTCTCAACAAAGCTTTAAAATTCACTTCTCTCCTTGGTCCACCAAAGCCAAATTTAGTGACCTTAAGAACACACAGTAACGCTCCCCTGTTCTCCCAGGCATTTTCAAAACAGAGGGCTGATTTGGGGGTGGGCAATGGGGAGGCTGGACTGGAGGATGTTGTCTCTTTTTGTAGGATTGCACTCTGTTTTTGTGCAGCCTGTTTTAATTTTATTTGCATACATTTGGTAATGTACCTGTGCACCACAGCATAGTCAATTCAAATGCAAGTCATTTTACTTTCTAGAATTCTAGGTTTACTTAGGTCCACCTTTAAGAGCGTTACCCTTCTGCCAGCTATGGAATCGCCACCATTACAACATTCATGGATTTGCATTTTTCTTATTGCTTATGAATTCTTATAGTCAATCTAGTCCTAAAATCAATATGCACTCAAAACTCCCTTTCACTTGAATGCCAGTTTCAACATAGAAAACTACAGGATCCATAACCAGGATTACCACTATATAGGGTAAAAAACCCCAGAAAATACGACTGCAAGAACTAAAGGACTTTTTAAAAATCCAGTTAAAAGTGTGTTTACAGCTGTATAACATCATGTAGGAATTATGATCAGAATTTTCAAATGCGGGTGCTGGACATTCAGTCCCATAATCTATATTTTAGGCACCTAAATACAAATGTCCTGACTGTGGGAAGTGCTGAGCATCAGCAACTCTTATGAAAGCTCAGCACCTCTGAAAAGCAGGTCATTATATGTAGATGCCAAACTTTAGCCATCCACTTTTGAAAATGTTGGCCTATGTTTTTACTTACCAGGCATTTATCAGCAAAACACACACACAAAATAAGCACAATTATGATTGCTACAATTCCAAATGAAAGTCCTAGTTTTGCGGTTCTAAAACAGAGAGAGGAGAACAAAGTTAAACAGAAGTATTATGCATATTGTCATAGTCAAATTGCAACTGACCAAGCAACACTCACTAATGCAGTTTCCCATAACTAAAATAAGTATCCTTGCTGTTCTTTTGGCATTAGATGATCATGAGAAAGGGCCTTCCATGGATGTTTATTGCCCTCTCTTGGCAAAGATTCACTTTCAGGTATTCCACTCTCTCATTCAAATCATGTGTAAACCACACAGCCATCATTAGTGTCACAGCAGAGAAAAACAGATATGGCAGAAAATTTAAAAGACCAGGGAAAGTCAGCTGTCTCCGAGCTGTGACAAAGAGCCATTTAACAAACCTTTTTTCAAGTTCCTCTATCATGTCTCCTTTTCCTCTCAAAGAAAAGGGAGCATGAGGCATATACGCCATGTGCTCTCAGTGAAGATATCATTCTTTTATTAGTAATTGTCCACTTAGCAGTTTCTCATCTTTGTATTTTAGGCTCAAATATTCTTCAGTGATGCTTTTTTGTACTTGAGTAACAACCTAGTCTCTGGCCTTAGAGTCATATTAAGCAACTATATTAATAATGTTATCCATGATCGGATAGCAATACTAGAGCTAATATTACTAACCTAATTCATAATCCTGACATCATTACAAGAGATGTTTGTGGTGAGAGTTTCCTTAGTGCTCCACAGCCAATTACAGGTGTCTTGCCCTTCTCCCCCATCATCCAGACTCTCACCAAATCTGGTCTTCCTCCTCCAAGCCTCTCTGAAGGTGTCTCCATCCTGACTGCTTAAATCTTTGTCAAAATTTGGGCCATCTCTACTGATCTACTGTGTCTTCTCTCACCTCTGCAAATCTTATCACCAGTCTATACAAGATGCCACTGCTGCAACTAATTTCCTCTAATGAATACAACACTAAGAACTTCTAGTAGTTTCCCAATATGAATTTATAGTAGATTACACTGTATCGTTGAGCTAGTCACTCACATATTCAAAACCCTTCATTGATTTTCTCTTTCCTTCCCCATCAAATTCAGGCTTCAAACCCTCCTGAACTGCCTAACCCTACTCTCCTTTGTTCATCTTTGGTCATTAAGGTGATGGTCAGAAAAACAATCTAAAATGCACTTCCTTACTTAATAGATCTTCTCCCTGTGTGTAGTGAGCACAGCTAAAATACACTACTAAGGAAACACTGTCCACTTAGATTAATGCAGCTGTCCTGGCTCAGGTGCAAAACTACCTATGAATGCACCATACTACCAAAAAGTATGTCACAATTAAGAATGAATATGTATGTGTGTATGTAACTTGTTAGGTCAACCCAGCCATGTCATGCAGGGATATGAGAAATCCTCATCCTGAGCGACGTAGGTAAACCTATCAAACCCGTGGTGTAGACAGTTCTAGGTTTATGGTAGAACCCCTCCTGTCACAGTAGTTCATGTCTACATTGAAGCACTACTATAGCGGTTTAAGTGTAGACAGCCTTAGCTACAGCCCTTCAGGATGATCTGGAAGAGCTAAAGGTGTCGCTCACATGCAAGCAATGTTTTATCCAGAGAATCCATTTAAAATGTAAAGAAGTGCAAAACACCACACACTTACTTTGGCATGACAAACATCTGTATCACAAATATACAGAGCAACACAATACTGGCACAGGCAAAGTAACTCCTCAGTCTGGGGATGGGGATGGTGCGATACTGAAACAAAGATTGTAATCATTAATAAGGATAATTCTAGAGTTAGTTTTTGTAATCTACCACTTGTATTTTTTAATTCTACCACAAAGTATCTTTGCACCATACTATTAAGCCAAGAATGTGAAGAGAAAGCCAACCAACCAGAGAAAATGTACATTTAGGCATCGTTGAAGAAAAATATTCCAGTCCAAAAGAATCAGTTTCTAACCAGCTGGGACACCTAACGAGGTGCAGTAACTGCACAACAGATTATTACACAACATGTAAATCAGCACAGCTTCCAAACTAACTCTTACTATAAGGGTTGATTATTCGACTATTTATATTATCATAGTGATTGGGGGCCCCGTCCTGTGTGAGTAGATTAATACACACACAGTGAAATCTGTTTTAAACTACCACACGAGACACCAGAAGAAAAAGTTTTAGCAGAAGTTCATTTAACTGAACGCTACCCAAAACTGAACTGAAACCTTGACGACACTGATGCAGCCTCAAACTGAGAAGGCTCTTTATGAAAGTTTTACTATATATACACACTTGTAATATATACATATTCCTCATTAATGTGTCCATATGCATAAATCACTCTGGGTTTAACGAGGGATCTCCTCAGACTGGAATGGTTCAGTGAAGGCTCTTCTTTTTGGGGGGTACGGGGATGGGTTGTGGGTCCTACTGAGTTTGGGAAAGGGCGAGCAATAGAATGGTGAAACACTGTATACATAAGGAGATTTGAAATTCAATCCTGCCTCCATTTAAGCCATGACTCAGGATGTTTTAGTATCAAGGATAACGTTACCATTCATATAGGGTATGTACTGTACCTACCAAATATCATACGGCTATATAAAGAAATGATCATGGAAAGCAGAGTCCTATTTGCTACAATGTATGTAAAGACACATTTTAAATACCTCTTACTGCTTTTTTATAATAAAGATGTTCAGAATAATGCTGGACCCACTGCCAAAATGTCCATTGACTTTAAAGGGCCAAGGTTTAACCCTAGATTATTAACTGGTCCATATTATTAACATTACCAAGAAGCAGGGAATAAGCCAAGTGAACCAAGAGATCTGCATTACATCACATCACCTAAGACGCATTTGGAGCTGCAGTCACCTCAGGAATCCCAATATAGGAACGAACAAACTTTCATTTCAATTGTCCTTTCATGTTTCTATGAAGGTACGTCTACACTGCAGCTGGGGGCAAGCCTCCCAGTCCCAGCAGCCAGAGACGAGTGTGATAAAAATAGCCACGTGGACATGGCAGCTCAGGCTAGCTACTCAAGTTCAGACCCAGAGCTTGGGCTTGGACATGGGCAGCTAGCCCAAGCCATCACCTGTGCTACAATGTCCATACTGCTATTTTTAGCGCGCTCAAGCAGAGCTAATGCATGTCTGTCTACCCCGACTGGAAAGCATGCTCCCAGCTCCCATGTAGACCTAGTCCTTTAACTGTAACTTAGGATAACAAAAAAGATTCATCTCTTACTAACCTCTTTTTCCAATCCTGATTCTACAAAAAACAGTGAGCATCCACAGAAGTCATCTGAGTTACTACACCCTGGTCTGCATTAAAATAGAAATAGGTTTTACAAAATGTATGCAATAAACTAATATAACAGAATGCAAAAATCATATGTTTCAGGTTGGATTCCATGGTTCACATAGCCAGTGGCTTGTTTATCACGGCATAATGTTTTTCTGAACAGCTGGCAAAGCACTCTAAGAGCCTTTACATTTCAGCTATTGGCGGTTTTGCACCAGTTTAGTCATCCCTTTGGTAGTATAGTCATCAATACAAAAGAAATCCAGTCTGAAACCTTCTTGGCTGGGTTAGAGATGTTAGAGATGGATTAGAGATACTAGGTCACCCATGCCTTCACCCTGCAAATACCTGCCATCTATTAGGGATGGTTTGAGTACAATTATATTAGCCTTACCATAACCCAGTAGAAGGGATGGATGGCTCCCTCCCAATTGAAATGATTCTATGTTTGTATAGATCATAGGAATTTCTATGCTAGAATTCATTTTAAAAGATATAAAATACAGCCTTCATCCGACAGATATACTGTGCCAACTGCTGTGCCTGCTATTAGCACTGATACTCCAGGTACCCTCTGTGAACCAGCCATGGGAGTCATATCTGTAGTGCTCCCAGCAGTTACCCATGTGCTCCTGACCTCTGTCGACATGTATGCCCCAGCTGCCTCACCCTCTGACCTTCCCACATTTCCTGTGACCTGGATTCAGCCCACTACTGTGTAATGTGCTGGGAGATGCCTAGAATATTGAATGTGCTGGGACAGTTGAAATGTAGCATTGAACATCTGTGTTGGACATTATCTGTTTTCAGTTACAATTTCTTGTTTTCTCACAAATGAACATTTTTCTATAACCTGACTGAGAATTTCACAGTGGAACTACACCTCTACCCCGATATAACGCTGTCCTCGGGAGCCAAAAAAATCTTACGTGTTATAGGTGAAACCGCTTTATATCGAACTTGCTTTGATCCGTCGGACCGCACAGCCCCGGCCCCCCGGAGCACTGCTTTACCGCGTTATATCCAAATTCATGTTATATCGGGTCGCGTTATATCACGGTAGAGGTGTATATTATTAAGCTGTACTTTAACGCAAAAGAATTCCCATTGTACTCAAGTTAAAAACAAGCAAAATGGCACACAAGCAAGCAAACAAATTTTTCAAAGGTGATGTTTACTTTAAAATTGAGAATGCAGGTTCTCTCTGGAGAAAAGCAGAGCTGCTTTTAAAATCTAGATAAACAATTTAAAAAATTACATACTTAGTCGAACTGAGACCCTCAATGGTCGACATCATTTCATCATAAGTATCTTCTTCCATCCTTCCCTTCTGGGATGTATTTCTAAATATATAGAGAAAGACACAGAAGCTATTAAGCATCAAATCAATTTCTGGCTTATGAATGTGATGCATCTCTACTCAGACTTCCAAAATGTGCTGTAGAATATATGCACAGTGTAGATGTCACATACTGCTATGGTTATTCATCATTGTCACTTAATTACAAATATCCTCAAAAATATATCAAAACAACAACATGATCTCCAAAATAAACCCAAGAAACTATTTAAACAAATATAAATCATTCCAATACTTTATTACACACTGAAGCCAAACTCAGGTCTTATCAAAGCAAAAATACAATTACCTTATGTCAATTTTCTGAAAAATTTCAAACAAAACTTTAAAAAAAAAACAATTGGGAACATTCTCAATTACTGCTAATATGAAAATCAAAAAGGAATGGCATACAAAAGTATAAATTTCTCTAAAGTTACCCTCCCTCCATACACAAACAGCATCTCACTTACTTTCCTATAAAAAGAAGGATATGGAGTCAGTGAGGAAATATGGGGCGTCCAGAGTGACAGAACAAGTACAGAAGTATAAGGAGAAAGGAGGAACTCACTTATAGTTTACAAGTGAAGAGGGACATAACTGTTCTTGTCTAGATCCATGCAGACTAACACAGAGAGAGACACATTTAATGTAATACAACAGCTCCAGCAGATTAATTAACAACAATCAAATTAATCATTCAAGACAAATTATTTTGAAGGCAGTCTTTTGTCAAGATGAAAAATCTCTTCCTAGAGAAGTTTTCATGAGAAGTCTGAAAGACCAAATTTGGTGTGGCTGGTTATTAGTGAGAGACATTAGCTGCAATATCCATCATTCAGAAAGAGTCGGCTCTACCTTAATAAAGCATAAGCGCAGCTAAGAAGCATCTTGTGATTAAATGCAATATTTAAAAACTGGACTTTACAAATTGTTCTACTGAAGATGAATATGAGACCTGTATATGCAACCATGAGATATTTTAAATGTCTCAGACACCAGTTCATCTTGGAATGATGTACCCTGCAGGCTGGAGAACAATACAATAACCAGGGCCGGCCGGCTCCAGGCACCAGCTAAGGAAGCAGGTGCTTGGGGCGGCCAACGCATAGGGACAGCACTCTGTCCGGTATTGGAGTGGTCCGTCCGGGTCTTTGGCGGGAATTCGGCGACGGGTCCCTCATTCCCTCTCTTCCTCCTTGAGCTGCCGCCGAAGTGCCGCCAAAGAGGAGGAGAGGGAGTGAAGGAGCCATCGCTGAAGAAGCGGCGCGATTGAGCTGCCGCTGAAGTGCTGCCGCTCATCTTTTTTTTTGGCCGCTTTGGGGCGGCAGAAAGCTGGAGCCGGCCCTGACAATAACTTCATCGAACAGAGTATGTATAAAGAAATGGCCAAAGCTTGCTATTGTGAATGAGAATGAAAAGGGGGTGTAGAATAACTACCAGGAAAAATTCTGTCACTGACAATTTGTGGGATGGTTATGTCACACCAGAACACAAGTAGGGCAACCAGTAGGGAACAAGTAAACCTTGCAGAGCTCAAAACTAGTTTTAAGATTTGCAGGCTCATAGAACCACTGTATTTGACTTCATTAAAAACGTCTAATTTACTACCAAAGTTATTCTTCAACCAAGATCCAATATTCTTCTTGCTAAACAGAAACAGGTGCAGTGTATCTGAAATTGATCTAGAGTGAAAGCTCTCTGGGGCAGGTACTGTTTTATTACTTCTTTGTACAGTGCCTACCACAATAGGTCTTCCTGCCAATCTAGGGTTTTTTGTTTTAATAAAGTCACAACACTACAGTATGTCAAATTGTAATGGGACCACACGGAACAAAACAACGGTGCTGGACTTACCTATCTGAAGTCTTTTGACGACTTGTAGAATTCAAAGGTATCTCCTAAACAAAAGGATTTGTGAGTGAGTTATACATTTTATAAACTAGAAAAAATATTTTACATGGCTGGTAAGAGAAAGCTACTTAGACACAATGATACAGCACAAGTGGGAGGAACTCAGCTGACAACTCATACTGCAGCTCTTTGTTCCCCAGTAGGCAAGCAGACACAGAGGAGCTGCAGAGGTGTTGTGTAGAGCATTACATGGTATTTGATTAGCATATAAGTTTGGGTTAGCTGAGAGCAAGATGCATCTCTTTCATTTACTTTTCAGCGCCAGAAGATCTAAAATTCAAACCCATACCATAACTTGGTGTTATGTAAGCAGTGAGGGGAAACAGAGGATGCTGCAGAGTTAGAGATGCTATCTGTCAGAGGAGACATTACAGTGAGATCTCTTTTGGATCTAGTGAGTCCTCGGGTGAAAGTTAAGATCCAAAAAGGACAGAGAATAACTGTGATGCACTGGAGACAACATCACCTCTCTCAGTAAGATGAGCTTAATGGCTGATTTATTTACTTACAGTCACTGCACTACCATGGCCCAGATTCAGCAAAGCACTTAATTAAAATAAAGCTGAACATCAACAGAATTTACATTTGTGCTAAAGTTAGGCATGGGCTTAATTACTTTACAGAATCAGAGCCTAAACTGCTACCTTTAAAATCCTCTCTGAAATTCCAGGAGTAGGAAAAGGAGAAGAATAAATCCTGTTTTATTCTTCACGTTAGCACTGTCAAGCTAATTAAGGTTCCCATTGAGAAAAGCAGTTGTGGCCCCCTCCAGACTGGGGCTACGTTTTAAATTGATCCAGAAACTGAAGCTGGTGCAGGATGCAGCAATCCTCTTGTTATGTGATTAACCTTTCCATTCATCCTGTGCTCTGTTATCTGCATTGGCCTGTTCATGTCTGGGTTGATTCTATGGTCTGGTTATATGATCACTGGTGTGTGTGTGTTGCCTTCCTGCTTCCTACTCCCTATCCCTGTTTTGTTTTCTGGTGCTCTCTCCTTAACTCGGTGTTTCTGTTCCTGCTTAAAGCTGTGTGTGTGTGCACAGCACTGGGTGTCACTCTCTCTCTCTCACACACACACAAACACACACACACACACCCATGCTGGAATAAAAAAAAAGTGCCAATCCAACCATCACCTTTCTTTGTCTCCCAGTTGGAGCTGATGATTCACTGCTGACACTTTCTCTGTGGTTCAGGTGGGCAAAGGGCCTGGCTGCTCCCCAGGACTCCAAATAACGTGTCATACGGACAGAGGCTCGCATCTTCAGCCCATCGTTCACTCGTGTTTTAGGGAGATGATTATTCAACGTACGCTGTTTAGACTAAAAGTAAGAGAGACACATTTACATATAAAAAAAAGTACACTGCACTCTGAAGCTCTGTTGGATTTGTACCTGAGAGCCACACAACTATGTAGGACCTTGGTCTCCAGGGACATGGTACTACATATATCAGCCAGAGTGCCATCCTTGATTCCCCATCCCCTGTCTTGTTCGACTCTAGTTTAAGCAAATCATAAACTGAATTGACTGAGGTTCACTGCTTGGAAAACTGCTCTGATTCAACCTTCTGGCTTTCTGGACCATGTGTAGCATCATCAGAGATTGCAGAGTCTTGCAGACAGATGAAGGGGTTTCCTCACTGTCAGAGGAAAGTCAAGGCAGGACGAGACCATAAGCATGAGGTCTTGCGTACATGACGCAGAGGGATCCACACAATGGTTGGGAGGAAGCTTGACAGAGTTCAACAAAGCTCAGCCCTGGATTGCAACAGAGATTATGTCCTTCTGCCATGGATGTGTAGCAAAGGAACATATAAGCCTCATAATGCCCCTTCATGTGACCAAAAGCAGCTGACACATTAGGGATAACTGGGGTAATAAAAGCATCAGATCTTAGATAGTGCATTGATGAATAATCATATCCTCACATTTTAGGCATCTCCAGGAGCGCAAGAGCCATTTTAATGGAGATATATCAAATCACGCTGATGAGTATACACACAGCATAGTGTGCCAGTAAAAATCTAATCACAGAATAGTGTAAAGCACCCAATCACCTGCATGTCTTCGTAGTACCCAGTCTGTAATTTAAAACAGCTAAAGAAGATAATTTGATTTGTTTGCTGCTAATTCTTTTTCTTTCCAGTCTTTGGATACTTGGATTTAAAGGGAATTACGTGGCCTCATAGTTCCTAATTACAGGGAGATAAAAATTTGCATACTGCTTCAAGCTATTATTAATCAATGAGATTGTACAGGAATCACTTGATGATTGCCCTGTTCTGTTCATTCGCTTTGAAGCATCTGGCATTGGCTGCTGTCAGAAGACAGAATACTAGACTAGATGGACCTTTGGTCTGACTCAGTGTGGCCATTCTTATGTTCTTAGGGGTTCTTGTGATTATTTGGAAGTTGTAAAAATAAGTAACGCACAAACAACTTCACCTCCCCATAAAACTGGGGGGGGGAGGGGAATATTACATTCCCTTAGAAATGTTATGTACCTTTTAAAAAAATAGCACATCTGACAACTGTGTTGTATTTGTATACAACATGTGTGTAGGGAGGCATATCTAGGTATGGTAATAAGTACTAGACACCAAGCATGCAAGAAAAAAAGCAGGTTGTTACTTAGAAATTCTATGAAATGTTGAATAACTCTCAGTTGTTCACTGAACATACATTGATATTTTGTTCTCAGTAAAAAGGCATGATTATGGTCAGAAACGTGACCCGTGAAAAAGGCACCTTTCTTACCCAATAGAGCAGTGATCCAGCTCTGTATATTCACAGTCCTTCCTATCTGCTTGCCTTACTGACCAAGACAAAATTCTGCTCTCAGTTATACGTGTACCACCTTCACAGAAATCAAAGGCACTTACACAAGCAGCACTAAGGATATAATTTAGAGCTATGGAAGAGGGAATTCAATTCTATTCTGGCTGAGGTATTAACTGTAAATTAAATTTTAACTGCAGAATCTTTACTACTGATGACGCATAAGGGAGAAAGGACCCAGCTTGGTTTTAGATCTCAAGTGGAGTTTTCAGGACTAGCAGTTTAGGGAAAAAAACCCAAAAATATACTTTCACTTGGGGCTTGTCTACACTGCAAAGTTGTCAACAAAACTTTCACGGGTACTTAACACCCCCCCCCCCCCGTGAAAGACAAAAGTTTTGCCAACGCAAGTGGCAGTGTGAACGTGGCTTTGTCGGCAGAAGCACTCTCCTGCCGACAAAGCTAACGCCACTCACAGGGCTGGAAGTATTTTGTCGGCAAAAGTGCCGACAAAGTACTGAAAAAGAGCATTTACACACTGCATGGTGTAGACAAGCCCTTGTGAACTGAGAAAATTTAACCTTGACCATTCTATGGTGCCATTTTTTTTTTCAAAACACTTTTCAGAATACCAGTTTAACTGCACCATGCGTGGGAAAGATCATATTCTTTAAATTACAAACCATTTGAATGGCGATATTGCTGAAGAGAAATTTGAAAAACTGCCTGTGACAGTCCATATCCCTATGTTCACCCTTTTTACAAAACTATTTTGTAAAACGATTTTGTACAACGCATGCCTTATGAGGTATCATTTGAAAACTGAATCTGTTGATCATTCTTGTCCTGGTAAAATATGTGTGGCAACGTTGTATGTAAAGTTGCATGTCTACTGTATGACATTCCTGAGATGTGTTCCCATTTCAAAAGAGCAGGCACAAACCAGTTCCTCAGAGACAAAAGGCAAACTGACGCCTCAGCCAGGTGTCAACAAAATCAAATGGACTATCATCCGGCTAAGCGGCCATTCTTTGGCAAGAAAAAGGGTGTGAGCGAGAAATGTACAGCTTGGCAAAAGAACAGCTGGAAGTTCCCATGCAATCAGATTTTCTATCGCCTGAACCCCAGCTGGCGATGATTTCAAAGAAGAGAACTGCTATAAGAAAGGGGCAGGGCCACCCAGAGGATTCAGGGGGCCTGGGGCAAAGCAATTTTGGGGGCCCCTTCCATAAAAAAAAGTTGCAATATTATAGAATACTATATTCTCGTGGGGGCCCCTGTGGGGCCCGGGGCAAATTGCCCCACTTGCCCCCCCCCCCTCTGGGCAGCCCTGGAAAGGGGAGCAATCTCCCCAGATCTCTCCCTTCATCTCTACTCACAGCATCGACAACACTTGAAAGATAAAGGAAGCATCATCGGACTGGGGAGAGATCCTGGCTGAAAGATTCAGCCAGTAAGACTGCTAGAACATATGGTGAGAGAGTTCCACCAAATCCACCCTTCCCACACACTCTGCAAACACATTCTGCAGTGACAGGTAGCTCCTTGAAGCTGCCCACGTTCCCTCCCTGCTCCAGTAATAATGCCTAATGTAGCTAGCCACAGTAGTAGCTAATGGGACCTGGCTGGGGACTCGGGCAACTGCTTCACTCAACAGCATAAATTTCTTGCTCCCAAGGTACTCAGCTCAACCATGAGATACACCACCTGGTAACTCCACCCCAAGGTGCATATAGATTTCAGCTGAGTTGGAGGAATGATGGGAAGAAAAGAGGGGAAGTAACCAGAGTAGAGGGACCTAAAAACAAACAACAGCCGGAGGGGGGGGGGGGGGGAAGGCGGGAAGGTGGCTCCTAGCAGGTTTAGAAAGTTTCTGATGGATGTTCTAAGTGTCTGCCTGCTCTGGCTATTCATTTTTCTTACTTCTATCTGTTAAATGGGAATTTAATAGCAAACTGGAGCACCTCAGTATGATCAGTGTTTGAAGAATGGCTTCCAGGGCTATTGACCCAGAATACAGAAATGAGTGAGTTATACGTGGAGGTTATATAAAGCATCCTAGATAGGAATCCTAATCAAAACAACAAAGCAGATAACACAAGCTTTTTCAGAGTCTCTACTACCTGAGCCACAGAACTCCTATCGGGGAACATAAGAACAGCAAGAGTTGGGTTTCAACAGGAACAAAACTTTCATATTTCCGAGGGCGTAACAAAGAAGGATCAGTGGTACCAGTCAACAAGGTCTGTGTACAAGAAAACACTACAGAAGCCGAGCTCTAGGCATATTACTTCCATAAGCAAAATGGCAAATGTTCACTCACAGTCATCCAGTTAATTAACAGTTTTGCTATTAATTAACATTTTGCTACCCTAGATGGATGCCTGTTCTGTCTGCAGCACTGAGCCAGCCCTGACTGCACTAGCATACCCAGGGAAGCTCAGGAACATATAGGCACATAATCCATGCTCAGGGAAACCAATGAAATACAGGAACTGTTGGACTTCATTGCAATAAACTTCACAAGCCAAGCTCTGGATGTGACATAGCAGAGCCCAGCCTCAGATAGTATTTCAGGAGTGCCCCAGAGTCTTTTCTTTTGATTCTTTATTTGCTTTTCATTATAAAACTCTCAAAACTGTTAAACATCCAAGTGGCTTATTTTGCTTGTTTACAGGTAGCCAGAGAAGAGCATGAACTATAGGGAGGAGAATTAGAGGCATCCCTTTGTCTCATTTGTAAAGCTAGCACTTCATCCTGAAATAGTGTGTATTGGGGTAATAATGAAAGATAGTGAATAGCGTGAACAATTGAGGAAGGGCTGATGGTGATAAAGCCCCAGTTTGGCGCTAATTCAGAGATTAGTCACACTAGAGAACCCTTATAGATGTGGATGTATTTTCCACTTCTGACACACAAGAGGAGGACTGAGGAAGGCTTTAAGGAATAAAGAGGATCTCTGTTGGGCAGACAGTCTCAGTAGTTAACAAGTATTCATGTGTGACCGTCACCCTCGAACATCCATTTCTGGGGACAGCAGTAATAAATGAATGTTTAACATTTGGCTACTGAGGTATCTATGGTGAAGCTACTTGTATATCCTACACTGAACGCTATTTAAAACAAGCTTTCCTTCAGAGAGAGTGGGCAGATCAATTTCATAATTATTGGCTTTAGGAGCTTCAGACATTTTTGAGATGGACTTTACCGCAGAGTTTTTCCTTTGAAATTCAGGATCATTATATAGTTTAGCTTTATGCAAAGCCGTTCTCCATAAAGTGCTTTGCATGACACACACTTCAAATAATAGATAAGCATGCATTTTTGTCCCTCTCTAGTGGCTGGACCATGTAAGACATCTGTAAGTCTGCTATTGCCTTCAAGCTAATGGACCTTTAACTCAGGCTAGGTCTACACTACCCACCTGAATCGGTGGGTAGAAATCGACCTCTCGGGGATCGAATTATCGCGTCTCGTCGGGACGCGACAATCGATCCCCGAATCGACGCTCTTACTCCACCAGCGGAGGTGGGAGTAAGCGCCGTCGACGGGAAGCCGCGGAGGTCGATTTTGCCACCGTCCTTACAGCAGGGTAAGTCGGCTGCGATACGTCATTCAGCTACGCTATTCGCGTAGCTGAATTTGCGTATCTTAAATCGACCCCCCCCCCCCTGTAGTGAAGAGGTAGCCTCAGACAGTACAGGCACATGCTTTCAGATCCAGAGGTCCTACATTCAAACCACACAGACAACCCATATAACTCTCTCTCTCTCACACACACACACACACTATATTCCTGAACTAAAACACACACGCATATATATATTTTAAATGTAGACACATACCCTTGGGTCAATCACCAAGTAGGTTTTGATGTTCATTGCTTCAAGGTATGGGTCTCTCAGGTGTCCATTCCCTTCTTCCACTTCGTAAGCTTTGCCTAGGTGATTTAGCGTTGCTTCTGTGATGTGTACACGACTAGAGTGGGGAAAAGGAACAAAAGGCCTAAACGTTTACGGAAAGGTCAGTTTAAGCAACTCATTTACATTTCAATGGCCCCCGTTGACATTTCTGTGCTTTTCAACAGCTTTGGCAGACGACTCCAGGATCCTGCCAGCAGTTCAAACAGCATTGCTTATTTGTGATCCTTCATGGTACATTATACAATACAACTTTATTTGTGTTGCGTCTTTCATACCATGCGTATCCCAAAACACTTCCTAGTACTAAGTAATACATGAAAGTAAATAGCAGAGGGATAGTGAAATTAAGAGGTGCAGGCAAGGGTAGAAGAAATATCGTCAATGAAGATTTGGTGACTGACAAGGCAAAGAGATAGAGGAAGGTTGTTCCAGGTGACAGAAGCTTCAGAGAATGCTCTCTCTCTCACACACCCCCCCCCCCCCCCCCCCCCCCACACACACACACAAGTTAAATTGTGTGGAGGGATGAGTCCTGTGCTAGACAGGCAGAGGGAATATCAGCAAAGTGGGCTGGAGCAAATCCATGGAAGGTTTAACAATAAGGAGGGCAATTCTGAGCATGTATATTTTTCTGGAGAGAGCAATCAGAAGCACAGCAGCAACAGTGCAGGTCTCTGAACAGGATCTGCTAATACTCCCATGCATTCATTCTGATCACATGAGCCTTGTCTTGAATATTTTGTTGCACAAGGTAATCACAAGGAATCAGGTGTTTGTGCAACCCCTTTCTATAGAATTGCTCAATAAAAGCCATTCCGAATAATTAAATATGTTAGTATAATAAAATAACAATAATGATCCTTTCACTTACATGCGTCTCTGTAGCTATAGATTTACCCTATTTTATAGATGGAGTAATTTAGGCAGAGAGAGGTTAAATAATCTGCCCAAGGTCACACATTCAATCAACTACAGAGCTGGGAAGAGAACCCAGTCACTGACTTTAAAATGGAATTTGTGAGAGGGTTCGGATGGCTCACCTGATTACAGCAAGAAATAGGTTAATGGCAGGTCCCCACTCCCTTTCCCTGCACATGTGCTCAATGGAAGGGTCGGAGACTGCTGACCAATCAGATTGCCCAGGAGGAAAGGTAGCTCTTTGGGAGTCAATAGGTGAGGATGCCTTGGAGCAGGGAGGGCTGAACCCCCGTCCTGGCTTCACTTAGCCTCACAGCGACTGGAGATGTTTCTGTTTTGTTTACTGGCAACTGGCCTATGAGTCTATTTTGTTGCAATTCTTACCTCAACTTTAACCAGCCTAAGAGGACTTTCTAAAATGAAATTTTATAAGATGCCCTAAATCATTATTATTTGTGTCCGGTCGCAACTGTAAAATGCTAGGTGACACCCCAAAATTAACCAGGGCTTATTTAGAGGCAGTCTCCCATTCAGCTAATTCTTTAGGGATTTCCAATATACTAGAACCATTCAAATGCAACCTCGGTTAGACAGTATCTTGATTCAAGAGTTTACTCGGCTGCATATTATGATTAACAGCAAAAGATGCTTTTTTTAAGCCTACACAATAAATGCAGCACACTTCGGACCTTGATGCAAGCATGTCTTCTCTCCTTCACTTAAACTCCCATTGTAGAGTAAAGGTCAGTACCATAAAGGATATATTGTTTATAAGATTACAATCATCAGGTCACAACAAGAGCTGGTCATAAAAAAAGTTTTTCTAAATATTTAGAAACAAGAAAGGAAATATTTCTGAAATGATTAAAGGAGCTTTATTTGCTCATGGACGTTACTTGAGCCTCATTGAAAAAGGGGACAGGTATATAATGCCAACTGCTGCCTCGATGCCATTTTTGGTCATTTCTAGAAGAGGGTAAATATACTGTCCCCTCCTCATTCAGCCTTGAAGGCAGAGGCTACTCGCAGTAAGGTTTGCAGGGCTGGGCATAAACCAGTAAATGTTGCTTAAGTCAGCCTGTTCTTCAGATGAACAAAAAAAGCTATTAAGTGAAATTACAAGAAGAGTGACATTTCAAAGGTCACATGCAGAAATGGCCATCAGTAACCAGCTCAGCAACACCAAATGCTTTTAAAAAATTATTCAGAAGCACAGAAAAGAAGTGAGGTCACATTACTATGGTACAAATAACTCTGCTCTAGGTCAGAAGCTCAGCCATTTTTCTATGGAAAGATATTTGGGTGCACATAAATAAAATTTCACCAGTATACTAAAAACCAGTAAACTAAAAACTGAATACACCTGCAGATTATTTGCAATGTCTATTACACTGTAGTGAGAAAAAAATCAGATGGCAAAACAAAAAAGAAACACCACACCTTACAGTAAAATGAGCAAACATGGTCAGTTTTGCATATAATTCTGTTATAGTGTGGGGTTTTCCACAGTGCTCAGTGTCTGCCTAACTGCTCCCAATGAAATAAAACTTCCATTGACTGCAGTGACAGCAAGCTTAGCCAACACTGTGTGCTTATGGGAATCTCACCCACGCTGTATTTTCTTCACAGGCGCTATGTAACAAGCAGCCTCCCTGTGAGGCCACACCATAACCCCTGTGACACAAAATGTCCCCTTCAGCCAAGCAGTGTAAATTTTGAACCCGATGACGACCCAGTGCTAGGCAGTATAGAAAGTGCAGTATTACACAGTGCTGTTTCAGCACAAGCAGGCCAACCTAAACCAGTCATAATATTTAACAGAGAGTTAAGCATAAGCATGTAGAAGGGAACAGAGCCATCAAAGCTTTATAATGTGGTTATGGTCCTAAAATTGACGGTAAAAATGCACCTTCTGATTCCCTCACTGTATTCAGAGTCATGCTAGCTTGCGTCACAGGCAAAAAAACAAAAACAAAAAAACACTTTACAATTCTGTACTCCTGTTAGCATTGCAGAGTCAACCCAGCACACGAGCAGTGTGCTCGATTCTTCTGTGGCTGGCAAGTCACCACCACAACTGGTAACCGATCTGTAGTCACTCAGGCAGGTGGTAACAAGGAACCACCCCTCAAGACCGAGCTGAGCTTTAAGGGTTTAAATGGCAATCGTAGATTTATATAATTGCCACTCCACAAAACATTGTTAGATTTGCACAGGCTACGAAAGCCCCCAGAAAATTACAGAATCATTTGGGGTGGAGGAGGGAACAGATAGAATCAACTTCCTTGGTCCTGTACAGGCTGGGGGAAAAAACCAAGTTTCTTCGCTAAATCCTGTCCATAGAGCTCTCTCTCTCTCTCTGAAAGCAGCATCTATAAAGTATCATGTTGTGAGATAGCGCTGTAAATTACAAAACTAAAATCCCATGAGTGTATCTCTAGATTACAAAAGAGCATCTGACTCAAGGTAATAAAACTGCTGTTCTAATCCATTTTAGACAAAGTTAGCATCATTCATTGGCTAGGACACTGGCTGAGAGCCAGGAGACCAGGCTTTCATTTCTAGCCCTGCCACTCACCTGCTGTGTAGTTTGGACAGGTCACTGCACTTCCTCATGCCTTTGTTCCCTCTTCAGTATTGATTTATCTGATCTGTTTAGACTTTAAACTCTTTTGGGCAGGGCATGTCTCTTACTACACGTACGTACAGAGCCCAGCACAAAGGGGTCCCGCCCTCAGTTGGGGCATTTAGGTACTACTGTAATTCAAATAGTTAATAATACGAGTGTGTGCAAGCCCAGGCCATCTTTATTCGTTTTGTTTTTTTTTACTTTTTAAAACAGAATTTCGGGTATTTTATAAACACAATTTCAAATATTACATATACTGCAACACAGAAAAACACTAAGTTGCTATTCTGTCTCAGTTTTCCCACTATAAAAATATATAAACATGCTTACTACCTTCCTTTGTAAAGTGCTATTATTATTATTATTAATATAGACAAATTACACACAAACCTATTGTTTATACATCATAAGGCTGCATTTTTATCTTGGTTTTCTGGATCTCTCTCTAAATAAATGTATCATTCACACTTGATTTAAATCATCAGTAGAAACACTAAGTAAGTATACAGCCTTGTATTGCCTACGGAAGCTGTGTATGTGTTTTCATCTAAATTTACAAATACAGATACAATATATCTTTATGTACAACTTGAATCAAGTCAGTCAGCATATAATAAAACAGTTTCAGAGATGCAAGGAAGGTCAAGAGCTATATAAGAAGCATTCACTCACATAAGATCAGAGTTCTGTGGATCAGGTGAGAAATTATCAAGAGACAAACATTTTTCACAGTAGAAGTGGACAGACATTTTTACCCATTTCAAACCTTCATTGGTTAAAATAAGTGCAGCAGCACAGTTATGGATTCCAGGCCCAACACAATATAAAGAAATATTGAAATAATATAAAAACTGTCGTTGTGGAACTGAAGCAGCAGCCAAAACAAACGTTCTTACCCAGGTATTCCTGAGGATTCCATACGATTAGCTAAGGAAACATCATGAGACCACACATCATACTGCCATTTCCGGAGTCCAATCACGCCACAAAGCACATTCCCAGAATGGATACCAACTCTCATACTGATGTCCACTCCAGTGGCTTCTTTTACTTGTCTTAGGGGGGGAAGGGAAAGAGGGGAGAAAAATCAGAAAATAAGCTATCTGCCCCACATATATACATTACTTACTAAGGTCAGATTTCCTCCACTCACTAAAAAGCAGATGTGAAACTTAGAATTGCTGAAGACAGGAGGGGAAAAAATGTGGTGATTTATTAAAAGTATCCAAAGATTTTATGGAGACTTCCTCTGATTTGTGCATCTGAAGCTTTTCTAATTTTATTGCATCGAATAATACCATTACTATGGTCTCCCAAATAAAGGATAGACAAACGGATTGATTCTCAGCTCATGGCACAGCGATTCAGAGCAGCAATTAAGATTAGAATACACACAAGGCTCAGTTCATAATGAAAAGAAATATGAACTTAAGATGGGACTGTCAAAGCCATAGGAAGTGGTCTAACTCTGCTCCTACTCAAGTCAAGGGGTACAAAGTTAGGCCAACTTTTGGCACTGTCACAGCTAAAATATACAAGAAAAGAGAATTAAATCCTAGGAACTTAAATGTAATTTACACACAAACAAACCATTTTTGTGTTATTTGGATGTTAGGCTGCTGCTAGAGTTTAAATGTTGTGAAGTGTTCTTAAATACATGTCCTTTCCATTCATGCTGGGGTTAATAGAGGTTGTAGGTGGTCTCATGGCAGTATTTGAAAGAGTTGGCAATAACTTCAGGTGTCCTAGCCAACTTTGTTCTCTTTAATATAAGCAACAACATAGCTTAATTACCTTCACCACTGAAATTTAAGCCTGAACATGAGATGATGCTGGAACGTAATAAGCAGTCAATTCATTCACACTATGTAACCTTAGAATGAAACATTACAGAATCCCACATTATTGTGGGGATGGAACCATACCTTTGCATTATCACCTTGACACCTGACCTTGCACTCCTTGTGCATCCAAATCTGCATTCCTTCTGCACACAAGGAATGCAAGACCAGGCCTGGTACACTACCCTCTTCTCCTCCTCAATACATTTTGTGTTCTAAGCCATAGAAATAATAAAAGGCGGGGATGACTGCCCCTAGATATGAGGAAACAACTTTTTTAAACAAAAACAAAAGGGGGGGGGGCTTGTCTACACAGCACTGTCAAAGTGCATTAGATGGGTGTGATTTGTAGAGCACAACACATCAGAGTGCTTTAACTGCCCTGTGTAGATCCTGCTGGCATGCTCTAAAAGGTGTCTAGTTCATGTTAATGTAGACCCTCCAGCAGGGTCTATATGGGGCAGTTTAAGCACAACATGTCAGAGTGCTTTATAAATTACACCCCTCTGATGCATTTTACTGCACCAGGCAGGCGAGCCCAAAGGAATACTAACACCATCAAGCAGACTTCGCAATTTTTGATTTTATAGATCTATGATAAATCATGTATAACTAAAAATAATAAATTGGCCTCAAAGTATTTCATTCAGCATTGTATTCTCTTCTGATTTCATCTCCTTCCTACATAAGCCATGGAGACCCATGATGTTCTGCTCTCATAATACATAGTTTGTTCATAGAAAAGAGGCTGGAGACATTCTGACGAGACACATGCAAAATGAAACAGCTTAAGTGATACAATAGTTAGTGAATGCATTCTAGACTGTCCACACAAAAGACTAAGAATGATCTTATCCAATGGCTTCATGACCTTTTTAAAAAAATTTAAAAAAAAATCCCAGCCCTACATTTTTAAGGTGCTTGTTTATTTTCTGAGTGTCTATAGGTTAAAGAGCCCTTTTTACTCAGTACATACTTTATAGCTTCACACATGTCGAGTCCCATTTTCACACAGTTCCGGGCATGAACCGGTAAGGACACAGGTAGGCCTGAGACACAGTAATAACAGTCTCCCAAAATTTTTATTCTCATGCATTCATTTTCCTGCAAAATAAGGAGAAAGAAACATAACAGGAAAAAAAGCACTGCTTATATTCATCAGTACGTATCCAGAGTACATACACAGGAGACATCACTTGTTAATGTCATTTTGAGAAAAGTTAGGCCCCATTTAATCCTGGTTGAAGCAACAAAACAATTTCCCTCCTTTTACATTCAAAACTCAAAGAGGTTTGTTAGTGACGTTTCTTGTTACCTGCTTAATTCCTGAGTGTTACCGAAACCAAAAATAAAATTAAAACCAGAAAGAAGTCAGTGAGATGGCTTTATTACTTATGGGGCTACTCCAGTTACGTAGTCCTGCATAATTGTCATGGAATTTACCACCAGAGGGACAAAATCTGCTTGTCTGCCATTTTACAATAGTTTTTCATAAATTGGAAGCCAACAATAAATTACTTGCCCTGACTGACGCATTTTGCAAGGCTGCTCTAGTGGATAAAGCACTGTGTGTTGTCACCGGACCTGCCAAGGCTTGGGGAAGGAACCAGGGTCTGGATATTCAGCCCAACAGTTTACTGAGGATGTTTTCAGTTGCCTGAAGAGAGAGGCCAGCATGAACCACAATTTTGATACTTCTAGCAATAGAGCAGCAATGCAATTTCACAAGAGAATGCCCGCCTGCCAACTGCAGGATGGAAACTACTCCCTATTATTGGGCCTGGAAGGGCAAAGGTGATTAAATGTGATGTCTTGCTCTAAGACATTTATTTAGGCTAAATACTTTCAATCAATGTCTTGGGAAAGCGAAGGCAAAGGCTGTCCTGTAAGATTAGAACACCCATCATGCTCAAACATCTTCTCACTATAGCCATGACAGCTGCTAGGCACCTATGTACCAGCTCTATTTATAGGGGAAATGTGGTCTTACAGTTAAGGTGCTGGACTGAGACTCAAAAGGCTTCGGTTCAATTCCCAGTTATCCCATTTACTTGCTTACTATAGGACTTTGAGCAAGTCATCTAATCTCTCTCTCTCTCTCTCTCTCTCTCTCTCTCTGTTTCACTTCTGTAAAATGAGAGTGTTATTACTTCCTTATCTTTGCCTGGTTTGATTCAACTCCCAGAGTCATTTCAAACCCCACTTTCAGAGTAATTTGTTTACACTACCCTATGGGAGCTATGCCTCTCTCAAATAAAATAATCTAAATGTAACCCAAATCTATCACCGTTTTTTTTGCTCAATCATTTTTCTCAAAGCATAACCTTTGCATAGAAGGGGTGAAATAGTCACAACAAAATTAAGGCAGCTCAAATTTTGTGCATTTTTGCATTTCTTTGTGAAATTAAAATCACTCCTATTTTGCTGACATTTCTGCACCATTTTGTAAGAAAATTGGTTTTGCTTCAAAAATATCAAAACTTGATTTGGGAATGTTTGTGCAGCCATATTACTGGTCTCTCAAAATATCACAAAAACATCAGGGTGATTTACTGTGTTAAATGCAAACAGGCAAAACAACATTGGGGAAAGTTTAATTAAAACATTTCCACAATTTTGTGAAGTTCAAAATATGTATGTATTCAGCTGAGCCTTCCTATTGACAGATGCTAATCACAGGACATAAGGTAACCTATAAACTATATTAATAAATCAGATGTAGAGTATTTTGAGATTATTTTTATGAAATATTATACAAAAATAAATAATACTGTTTTATAAAGGCAATTCAGATGTTACTTTTTCTCAACCTAAAGAACCGTTACAAAATGCCCATAGTTATCCTTTTAATTCATTTTCATTAAAAAAATCTATTTTTATTTTACTTATTTTTATCCTGTGGCATAAAAAACCCATGCAACTGAAGTAACAGTTATATCAAGCCACGTGTTCATAAGCCATGTGTCATACAAAAATACAGCTCTTATAAGGAGGTTAGTATGACCCTCTTATTCTCCAGAGCTTGCAAAGCCGTAATTACAACTCAATTCCTGGAAATACTATATGAACAATTAGAAGTGTGGGAAAAGATCAATTATTATTTACAAAGCTTTAATGTATGCTATTTTAGCACAAGGGATACAGTACATTCAACAATCTAATTTGCCCACATCCATCAAGATTTAATTTAATAACTTTGTTAAGGATTCGTCTCTTTCAATTATTTAGAGCATAATTACACAATACTTTAACAGCAGCATAATCTCCTATTCTAGAATTTACAACTTCTCCTGCTTACTTCCCGAAAAGCTTTAGAACTTTACAAACTAAATGAGATTTTTCCAACCCCATTAAATTCTTCTAACTATGCTTCAGTTAGTTACCTGTACCCAAATATACTCAGTTTATAAATCAAACCACAATCTCTAAAAAAAATCAAGGATTGGGAGTTCTGAAAGCCAGGCTTTGTTCTTTCCTTATTCTTCATCAACAATAAATTTCTAGAACCAGAACTTGGCTGGCATTTACTTCTTGTACATTACAGGACAAAATAAAATGCAGCTTTACTCTTTTGAAGCTCTATAACACTGGCAATAGGAAAATCATTAGATAGGACTCAACAGCTTTCCACCCAGTCCAGGACAAGGAGGGGCAAGTGGCCCAGCTTTAAAGGAGTTGCCAGAGTTAGCTGAATAGCAGACCAGGGAGATACCAGAGCTAGCCAGGAACACAGCAGTTCCTAGGCACGTCAAGCTCTTTCTATGCTACAGTTTTAAGTTCTGGTCATCAGGACGTTCGATAAACACCTCTTTATTTACAGACGTGATTATCAACTATGCAAGTTAGGGCAAGAAGTCATTTGCATACATACTCCAGATTTCTGAGCCTTCAGTTTTAATAGGTGTGTTCTTTATGGACACTGCAATCCACATTTTATAATTTGTTCCATATCTATCATACCGTGTTTCCCCGAAAGTAAGACATTCCCCGAAAATAAGACCTACTTCCAGTTTTGCCTCTCGCTGTAATATAAGGCATCCCCCGAAAATAAGACCTCCCGGATAATAAGGCCACCCCGGAATATAAGGCCCCGAAGCTCCAGGAAAAATAAGACCTCCCCTGAAAATAAGACCTAGCGCATCTTTGGGAGCAAAAATTAATATAAGACACTGTCTTATTTTCGGGGAAACAGGGTAGGTACAGACAGAAAGTAATTTTGAGAACACTGGCAGACAGCCCATACCATCACAAGCAGTATTTTTACCAACATCGTTTCCCCTTTAGCTATATTAATTTGACGTTTTTGGCACAATATTCAAAGATAGATTGTTCTGAAATTCTTTACCCATTTGCTTCATAAAAGTGTATCAAAAGCAGATGTTACAATGATTCATTCTGCCAGCCTAAGGTCAAATTGTATATACGCAAATGACTAATTACAGAGAAAACAGGACAAAATATTCTATAATGTAACTCAATCACTACATTATACTGCAAATATAATTCCACTCTAAAAAAAAATTAATCAAATAGCACAAACCCCTTTTTCATGCTACATGGTCTCTGGCATGGTTTTATATTGTACAGTTCCCAACGTTTACATATTATTGCTGTATTACATAACTAAAATATCCCAATAGTTTGCACTTCATACAGTGCTCTTTAGAGGTCTTCAAAGCATTTTTAAAATGTTAAGGAATTCAGCATCGCAACACCCTGTGAGGTACTGCAGATAAGTATTACTGCTCCCATTTTCCTGGTGGGTAAACCGAAACACAAAGAGTTAGGGAACTCACCCAGAGACCCACAGTGATTCAGTAGAAGAGCTGAAAGTAAAATCCCAGAGAACCAGCCTGGTTTTATACCACAAACCCTCCTCCTGCCACTCAAATAGCTTTCCTGGTTCTTTTAAAAAATTTTAAATCAATTTTGCCTTTTGCTGGGATTTTTACTAGCGGGTCAGGCAGAATCTCCAGTGGATACTTCCTACCCTGTGTTTTGCATCAGCCAGACTTCCCAAATGCAGGAGAACTGACTCCCAGGAGCTTGGAGCTAGTTGTTTTCTAACAGTGGCATTTACCCACCTTCACATAATGAAGAGCAACACCTACCTTTGCAATTTGATCAAACTTCCCAAAGAGCTCATTCAGCATCACTACCAGCTCCTTCGGAGAGCAGTCGCTAGCCAGACGAGTGAATCCTACAATGTCTGCATACAGGATGCTGGACAAGGACACACTATTTAGTCACATTTTAATTATCTTTGTTTTCTAATACAAATATGGACATTTAATTGCACTGTGGTTCAATACTGAAGATCTCTAACAGAGCACCTCTCTCTCTCTTTGGAAATCAACTACAGAAGTGACCTAACGGCAACGTGTTTGGGTTTGTTTTTATTTAAATTTAAAATACAACATGCTAGTCTAGGGCCGACAGTCTTCAAACAAGCTCATTTTTGCATGAAAACACATTAAAAAAACCTGACTTTAAACAGCCCAGTATGTGGATTTGGACAAGTAAAGAGGATAATTAATTGGGGGGTTTTACCATTGCAATGAAAAAAAGAAATCCCAAATCTGGCAAAATAACTTCAATCCAGTTCTCTTCTCTCCTCTCACCTTGGCAGATGTGCTCAGAGCATCTGAACATAAACTCTTCATTCAGCCTGTCCGATCCCAACCATGACACTTCTTACCATCAGTAAACAGACCAAGTATTAAAAGACAGAAGCATGTCTTAATGTAACCATTTGTCAAGTTTCTTTACTTACCTAACATTCTGATGCCTTTTCACATACAGACTATGGAAGTTGTTATCATGCATTTGCCTATCGTCATTGGTTTCCTTCAGTCGCTCTATGATGGCTAGTTTCATTCCCATTGAGATATGAGCTGGCAGTATAGATAAAAGCAAGTTTTCCTAAGAAGAAAAAAAGATTTAATAATGTAAAGTTATTTGAAATGCCATGTTAGGAATCTCAGTGTTTTAGAAAATGATTGGGGGAAGATAAAAAAGAAGTCTCCTTATTCAGCAGTTTCTGATTGTTGCAGCTCCAGCTTTCAATAAAGGATTCTTTTTTCTGCTCTCAAAATGAGAGTTATGAGTGTATACATTATTTTTTAAAATATTACATGCACCTCAGTTTACCAGTTTGATATTATCCTGTCCGAAGGCAACAAAGGAGGCTGTTCAGGGGAAGCAAACAGCAACTAAAACAATGACAAAGGTAAAGCCTTAAGGGGAAAATGTGGGCAGCTATTAATTGGAGAATGCCCCAGCTTGGCTCCCTTCAGGTTAGCAAAGTTTACTCTTCCATCAACGGGTATACTAAAACCTTAAAGATGCTGGCCTACACAGGAAGGAGGGTTGAGTGAGCCATCAACATGCTGACAGAGACACATACTGACAGAAAGAGACACAAACAGCAGCAAGCTGTCTGTTTTTCCTAACTCAGAGATGGAGGTAACTGGACTAAATGGAGCTTACCAAAGCTAGCAAGGAAAAATTCAGGGTAAGTAAGGGGATATGCATGTATAGGTCTTTTTTGTTTTATACATTTGTTCTGTATGCTTCGTACCTTTGGGTGAACAAATGCTTTGTTTTGAGGAAGCAGTTTCTGTGTCACTGCAAGCTTATTCTGTCACAGGCTGTAGCGGGGTGGTCACCCGCTCCTGCCCTGAGGGGTTTAAAACAGCCCTGGAGGAGGGCTGTGGAAGGACAAGATGCCTGGGCTGATTGGGAGAAAACTGGCTCAGCTGGGGCCACGCCCCAACCAGGGCCCAGCTGGCCCTATAAAGGCTTGAGCCAGGAGCTCAAGCAGACAGAGTCTCTCTCTGACTGGAGAGGGAGACAGGCCTGGCTGCTGGGGAACTCACCTGGGGACCTAGAGTGAGGCATGGCTGGAGAAAGGCCTTAGGAGCTGGGAAGCCCTAGGCCAGCAACTCCACAGGCTGCAGGACCTAGTCTTAGGCCCACCTAGGTATTGGGCTTGCAAAGGGGCAGCCTGAGGGTGGGTAAAGGCAGCCAGTCCAACCCCTTTGCCTATGATGAGTGGCTGAAACTGCAGTCTGCCCCAATGAACGGGGGCTAGATGGAGACTGGGCAGTAGCCAAAACTGAGGCGAAGTGGGGATAGTGGGTGGGGAAACCCAGAGAAAGTGGGGTACTGCCAGTGGGGCAGCACTCAAGACAAGGGCACCGGGGTCCTGGGAGGGACATGGGGGCCAACGGCAAGCGGATCACTGGCCTGCAGAGGGCGCTCCTGGGTCAAAGAGCTAATTCCTGAGGACGACCAATAGGAGGCGCCGCAGGGGTGAGTCTTACAGGTACCGCTCACAGTTGGGCTTGTTTGGTGGCTGGCCCAGTAGCGTCCACTGGGCCAGAGTCGAGACTAGTTACCAAGCTGAGTCAGGAAATGGGTACTGACTTTCAAAGCAGTATGGGGTCCAAAGCAGGAGTCCGACTAGTTACCAAGCTGAGTCAGGTGCTAAGGTCAAGCTGGGCCAGGGTAAAAGGCAGGAGTTGGGAGCACAATGGGGCAAAAGGAGAGGTCTTTAGCAGTAGGAAGCCGGAGTCCGCATTGTTGCTCAGATGGTTCCCTAGGGCAGATTTCTTGTTTAAATAGTTGGTGTTGACCAATCAGGCAGCTGCAGGGTTCTGTCGCTCTTGTCTCTTCAGGCAGTACTTCCTGCTGTGCCTAACCTTGCAGTAATTTTTGGATGCTGCTCTGCCTGGCTCTCCAGTGGAGTCATCAGTTGCCCAAGACCCCACAACCCTGGAGTCTAGACCCACAAATCCTTACACTGTTGGGTTAATACAGTTGGGAAGTGGGGCATAGGGGCTGCAGGCCAGAGATCCAGTCCCAGAGTGGTGGAACCACATGGCTCCGCCCGAGTGAGATGCAGGAAGCCAGGCCTATCACCTGAGGCATACACTCGAGACAGACTAAACAGGGTCTAAAGCAGAGCTTAACCAGTCAGTGTGAAACAAACATTCTTCTCTCCATTTCTTTGCAGTCTCCCTCTTCTCAGCAGGCTTCCAGCATCGTTTGATAGAAGGTCAGACTCAAAAGCTCACTCTGTAGAGGTAATAGACTTTAAAATATTCAAACCACCTGAATTCTCAGCGCATGATGTGAAGAATTTAATTGCCTTCCTTGCTAGAGGAAGCATTTGATTAATTCAAATACTGGATAGGAGACTTTAAATAGAAAACTCTATTGCCAAAATGCTAACGCAACTTAAAAGAACCGAGTTACTCAAGGCTATTGAGGTGGAGCCTTTTAATTTTGGCAAGAATGGAATCCTTTCCTCAGAAATTACTAATGTTGCTCGGCTAATCGGAGATCAATAAAGCTTTGTCCCATGTGCCCAAACAAACACATGGTAATGAAATTACACCTCTGACCAGGGAAGAAGTGTCCATGGACAAGAATAAAAGAAAAGCAGGAGTATCAGTGCTTTCAAGTCATCTGCTGCTCCCCTCAGAGGAATGAAACCAACAATACTCTGAAGAGCTTACCTGGAATAAAAAGGATCATAAGATCCTTCAAAGAATGAGCACACTCAGAACTGATCCAACGTTCTTCTCCACAGACTGCAGAAATCACTTTGCTGAAGCAATTTCTCCCTTTAATTTCTCCTCTCTATTGTCAATAGCACAGTTGTTTTTGACATTAGGTGGTTTTCATAGGAATTGGATCAAGCCTTTCAGTGTGCATTAGTCACAAACTTAGAAAAAAAGACACACATCGCCCAAAAGAAAACACATAACTCATGTAATAGAGGCTTTTACTCACTTGTTGCCTCTTTTCAATCTTCAGTTTCATTCGGACTTGAATGCACTTTAAAGTGTATCTGTACAAATCCCATGAGGCATCTTGCATCCGATGCTTGTGAAATGCACCCATCAGGTTACCACAAAGAAAAATTACAGCATTGGCAAGTAACTGCAAGAGAAGAAAAATATTCAAGTGCTGCAGAAGAGTTTGATTCATATTCTATATTGAAGTCACTTAATATGTTTTTTGTCCAGAACATAAGAAAAAGCTCAAGTTTTCCCCATCCTTTCACACAAGCAAACCACCACCAAACTTTGGGTTAGCCAACTTGTGTGTGTGTTAAACAGACGCTAACTCAACAACATGCGTGCTTCTATTTAACTCACTCATGTTAGTCCATTAAAACACAAGAGGGATTCAGTCACATAAGTTAAGGCCCATGTTTGCAGACATGTGCCTGCCATTGGGGCACGTGTTCCCAATATGATGAAGCTGTGAAAAGGGCATATCTGATCCTAGGATGTGCCAGGCAAGGCATTTCCAGTAGAGAGAGAGGTATTTAATGCCATTGTACAAGGCACTGATAAGACTTCATTTAGAATACTAGAATGTGTACAATTCTGATCACCCATGTTAAAGACTCGACAAATGCAGAGAAGAACTCCTAGGATGGTCAGGGGAATGAAGGGCCTATTTTATCAGAGGAGACTGGAAGACTATAGTTTCTTTAACTTCACAAAAAAGATGGCTAACAGGGGGATATGATTACTCTCTCTAAGTACATCACAGGGGTAACCACCAGGGAGGGCGAAGAGCTATTTAAGCCAAAGGGCAAAGTTAGTAGAGAAGCAAACAAGTATAAACTGACCAGGAACAAATACAGGCTGGAAATAGAAGGTTTCTAATCATCAGAGGTGAGAGGTTCTGGAACAGCTTGGGAGCTAACTTCATTAGTTGTGAGAGAGCTGGACAAATTTTTGAGTGCAACTGTAGGACAGGGTTGCTCGGAATAGTAGGGGTCAGGCAGCCCTAGCGATCACTTCCAGGTTATATCTTATATTCCTAAAAGCTCATGCTTCAAGTTTTCAGCTAACCACTGCAAGGATCAGACACGGATTTCCCTATACCCACAATGCACTCGAGGGGGAGGGTTTGTCTCTTTCCTCTAAAGCATCAACAATGGCCCTGACTGGGGATGGGATATCAGGCAGAGCGAGCCCGGGCTCCAAGGTGGCACTGGGCATTCTCTCTCTCAGCTGCATGGCTGGCTGGTTCTTGCTCACATGCTCACGGTTCACCACATGTGGGGTTGGGAAGGAATTTCCCCGAGGTCGGACGGGCAGTAGCAACCTTGCAGCATCTTGGTCTTCCCCTGTAGTGTGGGGGTGCAGGTCACTTGCCAGCATGATCTGGGTGTATCTCAATCATTTCCCTGGCATTGCAGGGCTCTCAGTGCACCTCAGTCACTCCTATTCTCTCCCTGTGGCACATACTAGTTTAGTCTCCTGCGGGCTGTAATACTTTGGTCTCATTTCAGTTGCTGGGTTTAGTGTGCAAATGCTGGGTAGTGCTTGTGACCTGTGATATACAAGAGGTCAGACTAGATCGGGGTGGGCAAACTGCGGCCTGCGAGCCATTTTAAGCCGGCCTGTGAGCTCCTGCTGGGTAGGGGGCCGCACCACACGGCTCGGCCCCACTCCGGTGCTCGAGCCGGGGCGCAGAGTCGAGGCCGAACCTGCGGATGGGGCAGCGTGCAGAGCCGCCTGGCCACGTAGGAGCCGGAGACACTGCTTCTGGGAGCCGCTTGAGGTAAGCGATGTTTGGAGCCTGCACCCTTGAGCCTCTCCCCACGCCCAACCCGCTGCCCCGGCCCTGATCCCCCTCCTGCTCTCCAAACCCTTCAATCCTAGCCCAGAGCACCTTCCTGCACCCCAAACACTCCTCATCCCCAGCCCCACCTCAGAGCCGGCACCCCCAACCAGAGACCTCACCCCCTCCCACATCGCAGCCCCAATTTTGTGAGCATTCATGGCCCACCATAAAATTTCTATTCCCCAATGTGGCCCTCAGGCCAAAAAGTTTGCCCACCCCTGGACTAGATGATCTGATGGTCCCTTCTGGCTGTCAACTATGACTCTACGATTTAGGCATAGAAAACTCCATGGGCACATACCTATGCCAGAAGTACATGCATGTATGCACATGCAAGTTACCACAGTACACATGTATGTATTCATCAGACATGGACACATCTGAAACTGTTCAGAGTAGCTGGGTCCTTCTGTGAATGCACCTGATAAGTGTTCAAACAAGGAGTGACTAATGCTGCTGACTCATTGTGACGGCCGTGGCTCATTAACTCCACCTTTGATTGACGAGAAGTGGAAGTCGCCCCTTTGAGAGATGACTCTAGGGTCTGGGTCTGAAAGGAACCCTTGGAAAAACAGCCAAGTCTCGGGGGAGGGATTGGGCTGGAGTTTGTTTTTATATTTTGAGTTACCCCAGGGGTGGCGCCAACCACTTCCTGATGCGGGGCCTCAGGTGGACCAGACACAAAATGGAGTGGGCTTCTCCCCTCCTTGCCATGAGGCCCCTTCCTTCTCCATGGCCCTGCCCCCTGGCCTGGCTGGTTGGGGCACTAGCTGCTCGCAGCCAGCAAGAGCCGCCCAGGCTGGGGGACCAAAGCCCTCAGGGAGCAGCAACCTCTGGGGGCAGGGCCCAGGAGTCTGGGCTGGAGCAGGTCAGTCTGGGCCATTATGGGGAACCCTAGACCCTCCACCTGCCCAGGGCAGAGACATGCGCCGGGGGTGCTTTCAGGTACCCCAGCCCCCCGCCCAGGCTTTCTTCTCCTCTGCTGCTGGAGCTGGGTGTCAGGCCAGCAGCCACCTCTCTCCGCTCTGCCTTCAGAGCTGGGCAGCGGGAGAGCGGGAGCTGCTACAGGGTGGCTACAGGGGATCTAAGCACATTTTGAGGTGGCTATACCCCTCGCAGCCCCCCCTCTCCCCCCAAGTTACCTGGTTAATAAAGCCAAACCTCAGGAGGTAGGCAAGTTTTGATCCAACACAGCATGTTTGTTCACGGTGTTTAGGAGGGAGAGATATGGGGGGGAAGGGCAAGAAAGTGCTACCGGCTCTCTGTCAGTCATACACTTCGGTGTACATGTCTGAAAATGCGTGCCTTGATTTCTTCATCTCAAATGAATCAGTCTCACAATACCAGGATATGCCTTCACCTAGGTCTACACTACAACTTATGTCGGCATAACTTATGTCGCTCAGGGAGGAGAATAAATCACCCCCCTGAGCTACATAAGTTACGCCGACATCACCGCCGATGTGGACAGCGCTATGCCAGTGGGAGAGCATCTCCCACCGACATAGCTACTGGCGCTTGCGGGGGCTGGAGTAGTTAAGCCGATGGGAAAGCTCTCTCCTGTCAGTTTAGAGCAGCTACATCAGACAGCTTACAACTCTCTAGTGTAGCTGCGCCCTAAGTAACCACAGCTCAGGTTATAGCGGGTTTAATCCTTTCAGTATATGTACTCATCTAATTTTGTATCCTACTCCAAACGATAAACGAAGAGCACTTCACAGTCTCCCAGCATGAACTTTATTTGCATGTCAACGAGCCCTTTCTAGGACAGGTGTTACCTGAACTCATTTAGCAATACCAGAGTGGTAGTAATTTAAAATTATGTGTTTACCTGACTGGAGCTACCAGGAAAAAAATAAAGGAAATCATAGGTAAGTTTATTTTGGCAAAACATCTGAAGGTCAAGAGACCCTGTTTGAAAGGGGCAGGATTTAATAACTGATAAAAGAAAATTAACCATGTCAAGTGGATACATTTGAAGAAGAATTAATAGGTACCATGACTCAAGAAAACGGCAATTACACCTTTCAATTGTAACTTCTAAAGATCAAAGAGGAACTGGCCTATCTAGGAGGATATTGAACTAACAGGAGCTAATAGACGAATCCATTTGATGGCAAGCTATAAGGTTGAAACTGGACCACATTTGCCTCTTGGACAGGTGCAATCCAACTGATCGGGCTTGAAAAAAATCCATTAACCAAGGACAAGTGGGAAATGTTCTCCCCAAACTCCATGCTTGCAATAGAAAGATAGGGCTACAGCAATCATTTTTGCAGAATGCAAGCATCTTTGTTTTTTTTAAAATTGTCTAGCCTTTAAGGTTGTGAAATTAACCAAAGTTTGGTCAATTTCCACTGCTGCTATTCAGAAAAGCGTGGGCAGCAGCCACATTATCAATCATGTCTATTTTATTTTGCTACAACATGGGAAAGCTACAGGCTGCAGCCGATGCTGGCCATGGAATTATTCAAGGGTGGGATCACCCAAAAAACCCAGGGAGGCCTTGTATGGGCGGTGAAGCAGCAGTAACTTTTTTCCTCATGTCTCCTTGTAGGGGAGAGGTAGAGCAGCAGAGGCCTCCACTCCATAGAAAACAGGGCGCTGGGATAAGTAGCAAAGATCCCAAACATGAGACTTCTCAGGTCTATCCAGTGTCATCCACGCCAGCTAATATTTCTGGAAGAGTACCTTCCAACTTCTGCTTCTTTCTAGCAGGTCTGTTTTTAATATTGATATATCGAGTATGGAGTAGGGCAATACCCACAGGTTATTATGGCAAGATTTTTTTCCTTGGAGCTAATTTTAAAATCTGAACATCCATCTATAAAGCCAAAATCTGAATTAGGTGTTTTTTTGTTTTGGTTTTGGCTGTTGTATCAGGACCATATATATATATTCTCCCTCTTTGCCCCTCCCCCAAATGTTGCAGCTCTGAAGTATTCTCTCTCTCTTTCTCTCAAATCATTTTAAAATCACAAAAAGGCCAAGTTTTATATGCTTTCCAAATAGGATTATACTATGGGGCCTGATCCTGCAAATCTCTGGGAGCAGCCCTTACTCATACAAGCAATCCCATGGAAGTCACTTACTTCAATAGGAAGCTCTTCGGGGCAGGGATCGTAATTTTGTACTTCGTACATTGCCTAGCACAACTGGGTTCTGGTCCGTGACTGGGGCTTCCTAGGTGCTACCACAGTGCATATAATAAATACTAACTGTGTAAGAACATGCAGGATCTGGCCCACAGATAGGAACAAAGGAAGAGTAACTTTCAGAGACTATAAGAGAATTGTATTAATAAGGATGCTGTGTACTATGATAACCCAGTATTTCCAATTTATAACAACAATTTTACAAACATTTCAATACTAAAATAGGCTAAAAGCTACAGCCCCAGCCACCGCCCCCCCCCCCCCGACACACACACACACACACACACACATATAAAGGGGCAATGTTAAGAGAATTAAAGCTCCAGTTGCTGTGAAGTCACTTTGTGGTTACTTGCACTGGAAATGAAAATATTGTATTTGGTGTTTGTTCGCTTTCATCCTAAAACGATTACAAATGTTGGGTTCAAAATGTTTGATATATCGAGTATGGGTAGGGCATCATGTTAGAAATGTTTTAAACAAGTGCTTGGGTTTTATTACATCGGTCTCAAAATCTGAAATCTAGCCCAAAGTAAAACACCAATTAAGCTACATTATTTCACTCCCCAGTCCATTATAAGTAGGATTTTCAAAAGCACGCAGCATGACTTAACACTGCTCCCATTAGGCCAACACTGAGCCCACCCTCCATGTATACAACCTCCCCCCTCCCCCAAAGATATTCTTCCTACTTAAAGAAAAAACAAAACATGAACATGTAATTACTGTTCCACTTCAGTGTAAACCTCCTGACCTGCCTGAGAGAGCCTCTCTCTCCCTATGAACATTGCCACAGTTGCAGTCTGCAGGGCCACTAAACTCCCCTTGAAATAATAGAGAAGAGGCTGCTGGAAGGCTGTTCTCCATAAGAGTTCTGGGCCTCTCAAATGCCTTTCGATCCCTGCTCTGAAACAGCCTGGATTTACAGAGTTCCGGGCAGCACTGCAGTGCCGCTGTAGCATTTCAAGTGTAGACAAGGCCTGAGACACCTGAAATCACTAGCCACTTCTGAAAACGTATGCCAAGTACAGTTAGTGAAGTCATTTAGATTAGACTCTGATTCCATTCCTATGGGAGCTTTTAATACACAGGAGCTGCCCTGGACTGTGATTAGTGTATTGAAAACAGATCTGCTGCTGACAATGAAATGAGTATCAAATGTTAGAAAGAGCAGTGACCTCACTCTACCACAAGCATTTGTCTGGGAAGGAAAAAAGGTTGTCATGAGTTACCTCATTTACTGAGACATGACATGCATGTATAAAATATGCAGAGAGCCTCAATCACAGTGCTTGCCCTCCTTATTCTAGCTATTTATCTTTTTTTCAAAGTGGAAGGATAGACTGGTGGCGGCGCCTGCAAATGATTGTGGAAACTCACTGACAAGGTGGGGCTGGTACATACCATACGCTGTTAGGAACTGTCAGATTGCTACCTCTCCCCTCCACCACCACCCCCACACCAACCCAGCAGTTTAGGGAACACACATCTTTTCCCTCACCTTCCAAGACAGACACATGCACACCCTCTCTCTTTTATTCTGACACTTAATCAAAAATACACTATAAAAGATTTCTCTTCCTCTTGGTAAGTGAAAGGAGTAGTGCTAAGCGCTTGCTTTCTCCTGAGTAAGTTGAAACAAATTCAGGTTTGTGTTTTGCATTCTCTTTAATTACAGTAGAGTGATCATGTGCAGCTGCAGGGCTACATTTCAGTACCTTTGTTCCAACACTGTGACAGAACACTGGATTCATGGCTTTGGAATGGAAAGAAAGTGGCCGGGAAGGAGTGCACTAATAGGTGTTTTTGCTGTTTGATAAGGGTGCCCCCAAATTAGTTATATTCACTTCAAGTCCTTGAATGAAGGCCACTAGTATTACTGACATAGTGATTTAACCATACAAAGTACAAATGGAAAGGAATATATTTTTATCATCAATTCAGTTTCATAATCCGTGATGCATGTTCTTGTAAACAAGCTTGATATCTAAAGCACACATCATTCACAAGGCAAATAAATTGAAGGAAACTGTAGTAAGTGTTTTCCCATATTGTTCCTTAAGACATGTAAAATGACTGTTAGCTCTAAGCGAAAAGAGCTCATCAATTTCCAAAATGCCTTTGTCTGACCTACACTCCCCGTCACTCATGCAAAATCCTCACCAGGCTCGCGTATTTCAGGAGGTGGGGAAAATACAGTAAATACCAATCAAAAAACTTTTCCTTTAGAAGTAACAGACCATCCCTTCCCTTAGTAACTGAAAATATCCTAAATGGCAGCGCCATAAAGACTTAATTTATCTTTCAATAGAGGATGGCTGTGCTGAACTTAAATGGTGATGTCCCTTTGACAATAAAATAGTCAAAAGGCTATAGCATTAGGTCATTCCACCAATAATTAATGTTTCCCCCTGCTGTGAGAGGCAATAGAAAATCTAATTATTTTTAAATGCAATAATGAAACAAGGATGATGTGCTTAGAATCCTAACAAAGCTGCTAGTATTGAACTGTGCTAATCAAGTTTAAATTAAATTAAATTAAAAGGGGCAAAAAGAAAATTTGCATAAAGTAGCAATGGAGGGTCGGGGGGGAGAGACTATAATCTAACAATGTTTGTTTGTGAAAATTAAAACATAATCAAAACACATGATACATGAAAACATATTGCAGCTGTAAGAGACAAGATCACAGGGAAAAACTGATAAGCATAGCCAAGGCAGACTACAAACAAAAAGATTGTTCTTAAAAGAAGATCTCCAAAAGGACAGCTGCAAATCGCAGATGTCCATGGTATAACTACGTTAGATTACCTGAGGATAATTTGATATCTTGTTTATATTTACTACTACATACTTATTTCATCTAGTAATTTACTGCTTCTCATATTAATTTGTTATATGGGTTAGCTCTCTCATGGGAAAATATCTCAGGAAATTCTAGAATTTCACGAGTTATCTTTATAAAAAACACAAAAAAGTTATTTGCAGGATGAAACTTACCATAATATTATCAGTTTTTGAAATCACGGTTCTACCTTTTGGCTACAGGTCTATTTTTTGTCTTATAGTCAAATGGGGCCACTTACTATACTATAGTATTCTATACTATACAGCCAATCACATGTAGTCTTGAGTGCTAATATTCTATTCTACTGTTCTTATACTGCATTCATCACCATGGTATCAGAGTGACTTCCAGTAGTTTAAGTATATTAAGTAATGTGACTAATATATGTCACACGTTTATTCAACAAATTGCAATTTCTTTTTGGAGAAGCATGCAACATGAGGACACGAATACAGTGATTCATGAACTCCACATTTTTGCAGAGTGATCTAGACCAGGGGTTCTCAAACTTCATTGCTCCGCGACCCCTATCTGACAAAAATTACTACACGACCTCAGGAGGGGGGACTGAAGCCAGAGCCCGCCCATGCCCTGCCACCCGGGGGGCGGCGTCAAAGCCCAAGCCCCACCACCTCGGGCGGGGGGACAAAGCCAACACCCAAGAGCTTCAGCCCCAGGCAGGAGGGCCTGTAACCTGAGCCCCATCACCCAGGGCTGAAGTCCTTGGGCTTCGGCCCTAAGCAGTGGGGCTCAGGCTTCAGCTTCCGCCCCAGCAAGTCTAAAGCCACCCCTGGCAACCCCACTAAAACAGGGTCGTGACCGACTTTGGGGTCTCGACCCACAGTTTGAGAACCACTGACCTAGATACAATTTTATCACAAAAAGGTATAGCATTCAGTTTTAGGGGACGCCAGTGCATTTGTTCCAGTCACTAATAAAAACATTTCATTCATTCAAAAAGGGAATTTCATTTGATAGACTTATTCTGCTACTAAATACGCTCCAGTAACTAGGAGTTTTTTAATGTAAAATCCTCCATGAAGGCTGCAGCATAGTTTCTAAAACCATGGATTGAATGCAACTAAACTGCACATAAAGTTACACTTTTCCTATCTCCGAGGGTCTATGATCAAAGACACCTTAAACATTAAGCTTTTTCTTAATAGTCTGGAAAGCATAATGCTAACAGAAATAACTTTCACTATTTTTTAAAATTCTATTCTTAATGTTGTCCCAAGATTTTTTTTTTAAATTTGTTGTCCCTTTCGTTTTCTGTCTCCTCATCTGTGTTGAAAACAGATATGTATCATACGTAAAAAGTAAGTAGTTACCAATGGGTGTCATTTGCGTGCAAAGGAAGGCATGTCTGCATTTAAAATGATACAGCGCCACTGCTGTAGCTCTACAGTATAGGCACTACCTACCCCATGAGGCGGGCTTCTCCCAGTGCCGAAGGTAATCCACCGCCCTGAGAGGCGACAGCTAGGTAATGGAAGAATTCTTCTGTCAACCTAGCGCTGTCTACACCAGGGGTTACATCAGTATAGCTCTGTCTCTGAGGGGTGTGGATTTTTTCACGTAGCTATACTGAATAATTCCTTGTGTATGAGGTGGACCCAAACCCTTGAACTATGTGGAAGCTTGCATCCATATCTGAACTTTGCAGTTTGTTCCCATCTCTAATGGAAATGCTGCCTAAGACATTTGAATATTCTAACAAATAGCATTTCCTTACCTGAAACGTAGTGAGTTTTTGGCGTGGTTCAGAATATAGTGTCACTGCAATGCTTAGGGCTACAATATGGGACACTGCAGAAAGGATGCTGATGATGACAGCATCTCTCATCCCAAAGGGTAACATGGTATAAACTGTGAAGATTATGAACAGGAAGAATGGCACCTTCAAAAAGAAAAAGGGAAAAATCTGTTATTAGGTGCCAGCCAAAAATCACTGCAGAGCAAGGGGGGAAACAAGCATTCTGACTTTTCTTCAGGCTGCATCCTCTAGCATTGACATTTCAATGGAACAATTAAAATCACAAGGAGTGTAGTGTTCATAAAAGCTTTGAGGAAACTGGATAAAATTATAATACGAATGTAGCCAAACCAGTAGCTTAAAGAGGACATTTGACCCTTAATTTGTCTCATTCTCCTTTGGTAAAGTAGCAGATATACTGCAGACCTTATAACCACAGACATGACATGACACAACTTGCATCTGAATTATGTACCAAGAACAGTCCAAAGCAAGGATGAAGCTATCTCCTTTCATTTCAAATTTCGCAAGTGCTTTAAGTTCTTATTATAATGTTAATATCAACAGCTTGCATGTGTTTATTTGGTTGATATTTTATTGACCCTAAAACCAAATAATCCTTCATGGAGTTGATACAACAGAGTAATCACTACTGCATATAAACATACATTTGAAGGCACAGTTAAAGAGTTTACAAATGTCCATTGGCCTGCTAAAGCATAATGGTTCAGAAAGCGCTATTAAAGTCTACCATTAAATCCATATTTATGGACTTCTGTTGTAGCCTATGGTACCTATATATGGGGCCTGATAATACTTGAGTCAAGTACTGTGACAAACACACTGCAAGACTGCCCACTCAGCTCTCCCGCTTCATTTCAACCCCAGCTTCCTGCTGTTTCCAGACATCAGCCTCCTTTGGGGAGATTCTCACTCATGGCAAATTCTAAATACCATATGACGGTTTTGTAACATGGACAAACGGAGACCAGATAAGGAAACACACAAGCTTCACTTGTGACCACAGTCACATCAGAAGGTTAAAGGCAGAAAAATCCTGTTCCAGCTGACCTCCTATAATATGGTCTTCACATTTAAAAAAAAAAAAAAAAAAAAAGTCAAAGGTATCAGCCCACATTATGTCTTGCAACATTTAAAGAAGCAAAGCCAGGGAAAAAACAATCACCCTGAACAACTAACATCATTTTCCCTATGTCTAAGGTGAGATTCCCCCCCCCCCCCCCATAAATTTTATATTAAAATTTCACTACTAAGTAGAATGATTTTGAAGGCAAAGTCTCACCAGAGGAAATTGAAGCAATAAACCTGGGGATCTATGGCTTTCTAGTATACATGTTGCTACCTTTAACTGTTGTACAGCTGCAATAGCTGAAGTCTGCAGTCAACATATCACTGTGCTGGACAGCATTCATAGTGGAAATCCATTCTGATTGTCTAGTAGATAATTTCTAATTTTCATTATTCAGAAAAGGATGGACAGAATGGGAAGGGTCAGTATAATTAGATAAAAAGTAATTTTTCTTTTCTTAAAAACTGTTCTGCTTATGTTATCAGAGCTTAGGAGGAGTTTCCTACAGGCTTCATAATGACTTTTTGGCTTCATAAAACTGTCAGTTTTCTGGTCAGAGATACCAAGTAATCAACTCCAGCCGTACCCAGCAATGCCAGGATGTGTCATTAGTTCTTATTGTTCACTTCACCCTCTCTACTTGATTTGAAAACACTTTCACTAGGCACACCCAGCTATAGAGTTCTTTAAAAAATTACTTGAACACCACTTTGTAATCAGGATCCTAATCAGCACCTATCAAAACACTGAGAATTATGAAAGAAATAATTTACTTTTAAGGTACATTCATGACAAGTAATACATTTTCATTTGTGTAATTTAAATTAAAAGCATAAGGCCAAGATCTTACAAAGACTTCGGCACATGCTTAATTTTACACACTGTGTGGAGTAGTCCCAGTGAAGTCAATGTGATTATGCTGAACTTTAAGCAGTGTATGCACATAAGTCTTTGCAGGATCAGGGACAGACAGAGTTAACAAAAAGTGTTATCCTATAATCCAATATAACTGGTTTGGGGAAGAAGTAACCTAAAACTAATGGAATAAATATTATATCATTACAATTTTAAGAACAAATATATACTGATTACCACTTCTAAATGTAAGTGCATCAAACAGGAAATACATACCTGTTCCCATGCATAGAATGAAAGGGTATCTGCCCTTCCAAAAACTGACACATATCCTATGGTCAGGAAGCAGATCCAAATCAAAATCCCAAATAATTTCAGCCATCTCCGAAATAAGGATTCAATGCACACAAGCAAGTACATGACTGCAAATATTACAAGAGCTGTACATACTGTAATAATGAAAGCAAGATGAGGACGTGTTTCCGTCTAAAAGCAGAACAAAAGTGTTACATTAGTACTGAACTTTCCTTTTAATAAGCGCAAAACCTAATGGTGTGTCTAATGTCACCCATGCAGCTATGATGTCACCATATTACATTAGAGATAAAAAGCTATTCCTACAGCAATGTCTATGCAGATGTACTTTCTGTCATGTTATATGTGGGACCATGCATGTTTTCAGAATCCCAGGTACAGGAAATTCCCTATTAAAACTAAAAGAAAAAACACCCCAACTTATTTCTGCAATTTCACCTGCTAATATTAGGGAATGCCATCCATTACACTAACATTTTTTATTAATATCTAATACTTGCAGAGCATAGTTTTTCTATTAAATTATGTTAAAAGTAAAGAAAATTGTTAAGTCATTATTACTGTTCTTTGTAAGAACAACAAGGGAGGGAGAGTGTGATTAGCAAAATTCAGGATCAACTTCCCTCCAGAAGTACCACAAATCATGGGTACACAGTCTAGGTCCTCGGTTCTGAACACCTGATTCAACCTGCACTTGAAGAGGAGTGTAAAAAAGTGACAGGGAGGATTTACCAGCCCTTTTATCACTATCTTTACAACCAGCTCCTTTTCCCTTTTACCACCTGTGAATTTGACTCTTTGGTTCTATTTAAGAAAAGCAGACACTCCTTCCAAACCCTACGTCTATTTCCTTAATTAGCCAACAAATGATGCTGGTAGCCTGTTCACATATAGATTTTGGCACAATATATTTTTCCTAACCCCCACAAGCAGTAATTCCCTAAACCTGGATCTGTCACATAGCAAAGTGATCCCACTCCCGGCTAACTTAACAATTTTACTGTTTCCATCCCAAAGGAGTTTCCATAATAGTTTTTTCCAAACAATTAAACTCTAAAAACTGCCGCCTATAAAATCAATCACAAGAATTCATAACCAAGGAACCCATATGTTATTTCACCTTTTAGTTTGCTGTACTTTTAAAAACATTCATATTCTTGAATCTGAAGTTAGAATTTACACACACACAAAATGCTGGTAACTCCCATGGACACAACTACCACTAACCTGAAGTAAGGGTTACACTATTCTAGCCCAATGAAACTTTTGCCCAGTGAGTTTCGTGAGCTTTGATACAAGTTCTTTCTTACCTCACACAATGTACTGTACAAACCGAGAACCCTGGTTATACTCACATGCATGACAAAGAATAGTATAATTAGCGTAATACAGAAAGTAATTGCAATGAAGAGCAGCAGGAGAAGAAGCGGGTGCTGCTGGCTCGTGTAGCGATACTTCTCATAAAGTGGATCTGTTATCTTGCAGTCTTCATTTTCATTAAAGAAGTATTTTCCCTTAGCTGGCATTTTATTCCAGTTTGGCTTTGACTTCTCTCTCAGTTCCCAGTGATGGCAACAAAGCAAAGATAGATCTATCCTTCTTTGAAGAGCACTTCTGTCTTCTAAGGTAGCCCTTGGTTCTGACTTGCTTGACCACACTGAGTGACTCACATTCTGCACTTGCGCTTCTCCTCATGAGCATAAAGTTCAGATCTCAATATAAATGAAAGGGAAGAGCCCTCCTCTGCAGAGCCACATCCTACTCTTCAACAGCTCCATGCAAGTTTTTTCTAGATTGATTGATACTTGTGCTGCTGCTGTCGAGGTTTTATTTTGCTACAATCACTTTAACTCCGTTCCACAAGCTGTCAGCAATTCCCTTCGAGTGCTGTTTCATGGGATAAACTCTGTGGAGAGAAAGCATGATTAAAAATAAGGCTTCAGTTAAGTGGATGCATTTTTGTCTGAGAAAAGTATATTCTTTAACCTCACTGTAAATAACCTTTAACAAGGGGACAAAAAAATATTCCTTGGCCATGAGAATTAGGCAGAACAGTACTTTCTGTTTAACATAACATATAAACTCTAAAGCAGTGGTTCTCAAACGGTGATCCATGGAGCACTTGCTAAAGCTGGACATATTGTGCTGGCTCACCTTTTTCTAGCCATTGAAACACTTAAAAGAGCTAAAAAATATATTAAACACTTTTCTAATGTTACATTCCCACATGAGCAATTGCTGCAGTTGCCACAGGCACATTAAACAGTTGTGAATGGTAGGGGGAGATGGTCCAAGCAATCAAAAATGGCAAGAGAGGTGACCAACGCTATGTAAAAGTTTGCTACCACCACCCCCCCCCGCCAATAAAAGCTTAGTTCCAGCCTAATCTTGAAACTGACTGTACATATAGACATGCAGAATCCTTCTGAGATTGAAACAGGCAGAATAAATTGAGCAGTGCAGTGGAATACTACTCATGCATATTTAATATTTTGATAGGCTAACAGATTTGACTTTGATATTCAGTTACAGAAGGATTTTAACTATATAACAGAATCATGTATTGGTCATACTAAAAATGAGAAACATAATATACTCATGTTTAAAAACTGGCTGTTTAAAGCCAAAACAATGTCTGAATTCTCCTCTGTACCCCAAATTATTATTCCCCACCCAAAACTAACAAAACAGGTCCTTCCAAGGATCAGATTACTAATTTTCCAAAAACACTTTCATGATTTCTTTGCAGAGAGTTGCCCTATTTTACAAGTCTGCATAACATGTACTTAAAGATGTGGGCATACATCACGGTACCGTCACTTAAATAGCAGAAAGAGCACAAATAAGTAAAACACACAATCCCTTTGGGCTGAATTTTGCCACCCTTACAATAAGTGATATCTTACTCCTCTAGCAGTCCCAGTGAAATAGATTTAACAGCTCGTGGAGGAAGAAACTACACATAACAGTGGTGGTTATTTGAAATCAGTACTTTAAAATATTCCTAATCAGTCCTAAGAACTGATTTCAGTTCTTGCTAATTAAAGGATCCAATCCTGCATTCCTACTCAGGCAAAATTCCCTGAAACCTTAAATATGTAATAGTTTGCTCAGACTGAAGAAGCTTTGTTTCTTCTTGTTAAAAGCAACAGGCCATACTAGATTATCAGTTTCTAAGAAGAACTCCCCTGAATCAATTGAAATTTCTGCCTAAAACTGACAGTACAATATGGCCCAACACATACAGACAATTTCATTTTTATTCACAATATCTTGTTGGCATTCCATTGATTTTGCAACATAATAAAAAAAACCCTAATTTAAATTTTCTTTAAATTAAATTTACCTCCTTAAAAATATGAAACAAAAAATAAAATAGGAAAATAAAGTACAGACTGTCAAAACCAAAACCTACTACATTAATATTTAAAGCACAGATTTGTTTAAAAACAGAAACCAAAAAACTATAGCTCCTAGTTCTTTCAAATCTAATTTATACTATTTCTATGGCAACAGCCATGTTAAGGTAACAATGAACATTAAGGGATAAGTTACACTGTTAACTAGTAATGACTGATGATTTTCAAATAGCAGCTTGAATATAGTTCATTCAATGACAGGGGAGACTTTTTTTAAAAGAGCCAGTGAAGTGTGAAGAACAGGATTTCAAAAAATGTTTTATTAGGACTTGATAAAATAATTACAGCTTCCTTACTGTTAGATTACCATCACCATGGAGTTCTAATCTTGGCATTTCTCCCAAAAGGTATGGCCTGATACAAGAAAACTTGCCGAAAAGCCAATTTAAATCAGTTACTCTCAAGTGACAAACTGTTTAACCACATGCAGACACAGTGGACACATGACAACTGGAGATGGTGCTGGGGCTTTTTTTTAAACCAATATACCAAATGATTTAGACGACACCAATATAAGCAAATTCTAGAACATTACCCATTGGAAAATTAACAAGTGAATTTTCCAGACATTAGCCTCAGGTGAAAGCAAAAGGCCCAATCCTGCAATTGTAGCAAGTATGAAACTCCCATTGACAAACACGTTGAGCACTTGCCCACAAAGTTCTGTAAATCTGCATTACTTACAAAACAAGAGGACAAGGTAGAAGAACAGAATATATTGGATTGTGAATTGTTGCTGAATAATAAAAAAAGTGATTCCTATCAAACGTCATAAAACAACAACAACGTTTATACACACACTTTGCAAACAAAAGGAAGTCATTTTTAGGAAAAAACAAATTACATTTATTAACTGTAATTGTCAAAACCTGGTTTACCATAAAGGACAAGTTTTAAAAAGTCACACTTTACCTGTGAAATTAGTAACCTCACAGATACCCCTTTGCATATACACATTGGTCCTTTGCAAGTTCTGTGGATGTAGTTTAGAAGGCATCTTTCAAAATCAAACTGAAGGGGGGCAGGGAAGAGATATTTTATATATGCACATGATGCCACGTTTCACTTTCTCATAGTAGGAATATAAATCTGTAAATGCATGTCTACTTTTTGTTGAGCTACCAAATAAATGATAGCACAACTACTTTTGAGACTAAACTGATATGGGTAATTCAGCACTGAGTCTTGTGCCTTGCCCCTTCCCTCCTTTGGTATTGTCAAAGAATGACAATTTATCAGGCCAAATATTTTGAAATATGGTAACAGATTTTTCTCAATACAAGAGAGAAGATACAAGTACATTTGTGATTCACGCAATTGTTAGAAGAGATGCAATATACATTTACTCCAATATGCCTTCTCCAACAATAGCTTATACCAGGGGTCGGCAACGTTCGGCACGCGGCTCGCCAGGGTAAGCACC